TTCTCTACACAATGTTGCATTTTTTTCCCCAGTGGGCTATGGCTGGTGGAAGAGATCATACTTTCACCCCCACACAGCATTGCTGTAAGATGAGATTAAGTTGTGGTTTATTAGCTAAGTGTTCAGGAACTTACATTGGTCAAGGTTTAACAACAAACTTCCCAAGGGACACGGGAGAAGAGGGCTGATTTGTCATGTTTGCTAATTTCTGTGATATAGCATGAAAACCTCAATTTCTGTGAAAACCATGGTCAGTTTTTAAAAAGCTTCATTGAATCACCGAACATGGGATTGGGAAGAGATGTGCATCCCAAGATGGCACAAGCTGTACACAACACACTGATACAAGGAGGCTGCACAGGGAAGGAAAAAATGTAGCATTTCTTCCTCAACTCCTCATGGGCCTCAAAGTCACCAACAGGCACATACTAGCCACCAACCCTGTCCACACAGGTAGGACTGCAGGTTTTGGGAAGCCCTTTATTGGGGTACCTTTTATACTTATGTCAGAAACAGGACAGGGACTTTCAGCCAAGATGGAGGTGTAGGTAGATACACTTTGCTTCCTTGCACAACCAAAAGAAGGACAACAAATTTAAAAATAAAAAATAACCAAAACTGCCAGAAAATCAAGCTGGAGGGAACTCCTACAGCCAAGGAGTTAAAAAAGAAACATTCATCCAGCCTGGAAGGAGGGGCAGAGATGGGCAGCCGGGGTGGAGAGGACATGTGGCAAGGCAGCTGCTGGAGGACCAGGTAGGAAAGGTGGCAGCTGGCAGACTGGGCAGTCCCCCATTTGCATGTGGATAAATTGGGAGGAACAGCCGGGAAGCGAGACAAACTGCGCAGTCCAGGGTTCCAGTGTAGGAAAAGCAAACCTCAAAACCTCTGACTGTAAAAAACTGTGGTTGTTCACACCAATCAGAATGGCCATCATAAATAAATCAACAAACAACGGGTGCTGGTGTGGTTGTGGATAAAAGCGAACCCTAGTACACTGTTGGTGGGAATGCAGACTGGTGCAGCCACTGTGGAAAACAGTTTGGAATTTCCTCAAAAAGATAAAAATGGAAGTGGCTTTTGACCCAGCGATTCCACTGCTGGGATTGTACCCTAAGAATCCCAAACACCAGTTCAAAAGAACCTATGCACCGCAGTGTTCACAGCAACACAATTGACAATAACCAAGTGCTGGAAGCAACCTAAGCGCCCATCAGTAAATGAGTGGATCAAAAACCTGTGGTACATTTACACAGTGGAATACTACACAGCAGAAAGAAAGAGCTACTACACTTCGCTACAGCATGGATGGGACTGGAGAGCATTATGCTAAGTGAAATAAGGCAGTGAAAGACAAATACCATATGATCTCACCTATAAGTGGAACCTAATCAGCAAAGCATGCAGACAAGGAAAATATGACCAGAAACATTTAAAGAAAGAAGAAACCGATGGGGACAGGAGGGAGGGGAAGAGGAAGGGTTAGATCAAGGAACAGGTGTGAAGGACACATGGATGAAGCCAAAGTGGGGAAGGATTGAGGCGGGGAAGGTGCGGGTGGGTGGGGCAGGGGAAAGTGGTGGCAGGTAAATGGAGACAAATGTATTGGAAAAATTTAAAAAAAACTATGGGTGTTGCAGTAGTGGGAGAAACTCCCAACCTCACAGGATAGTTTGCTGGAGAGACCCACAGGGTCCTAGAATGTACACAAACCCACCCACCTGGAAATCAGGACCAGAAGGGCCCAATTTGCTTGTGGGTAGCGGGGCAAGTGACTGAAAGCCAGCCGGGGAGTCAAGCAAGCGGCATTGTTCCCTCTCAGACCCTTCCCCCACTTACAGTGTCACAAGGCAGCAACCTGGGTTGCCACCTAAGGCTCCACCCCTTCCAACATAACAGGTGTGCCTAGAAAAAGGAATATAGGCCAAATGAAAAAACAGATCAAAGCTCCAAAAATAGAACTGCAAGACAAAGGGATAGCCAACCTATCAGATGCAGAGCTCAAAACACTGGTAATCAGAATACCCACATAATTGGTTGAGTATGGTCACAAAATGGAGGAAAAAGTGAAGGCCATGCAAAGTGAGATACAGAAAAATATACAGGGAACCAACAGTAAAGAAAAGGAAACCGGGACTCAAATCAATGATTTGGAGCAGAAGGAAGAGAGAAACATTCAACCAGAACTGAATGAAGAAATGAGAATTCAAAAAAATGAGGAAAGGTTTAGGAACCTCTGGGACAACTTTAAACATTCCAACATCTACGTCATAGGATTGCCAGAAAGAGAAGAGGAAGAGCAAGAAATTGAAAACTTACTTGGAAAAAATAATGAAGGAGAACTTCCCCAATCTGGCCAGGGAGATAGACTGGCCAGGGAAGCTCAAAGAGTCCCAAAGAAGTTGGGACCGAAGAAGCAAACACCAAGGCACGTCATGATTCCATTACCCAAGATTAAAGATAAGGAGGGAATCTTAAAAGCAGCAAGAGAAAAGGAGACAGTTACTACACAGGAGTTCCCATAAGACTATCAGCTGATTTCTCAAAAGAAATTTTGCAAGCAAAAAGGGATTGGCAAGTATTCAAAGTCATGAAAGGCAAGGACCTCTATCCAAGATTACTCCATCCAGCAAAGCTAACATTTCAAATGGAAGAGCAGATAAAGTGCTTCCCAGATAAGATAAAGTTAAAGGAGTTCATGATCAGCAAGCCCGTATTATATGAAATGTTAAAGGGACTTATGTAAGAAAAAGATTTAAAACTATGAACAGTAAAATGACAACAAACTCACAACTATCAACAACAACCTAAAAAAAGCCCAAACAACTAGAACAGGAAGAGAATCACAGAAATGGAGATCAGAGGGGAGAGGGGAGGAGGGAGAATGGGGAAAAGGTACAGGGAATAAGAAGCTTAAATAGTAGGTACAAAATAGACGGGGGATGTTAAAAATAGTATAGGAAATAGAGAAGCCAAAGAACTTATATGTACAGCCCATGGACATGACCTGAGTGGGGTAGGGGGAATGCTGGTGGGAGGGGGGTGCAGGGTGAAAAGGAATAAAGGAGAGGGAAAAAAGGGACAACTGTAATAGCATAATCAATAAAATATATATATATATATAAAAGAAACAGGACAAACTTAGACAAGAATTCCATGCTGTTAACACAAAATTGTCACAGACAGCCAAGATTCCTCCTCAAAAGTCTGCATTCTGGGGGTAGCAGGGCAGAAGCCGAGTGGCACCTGGGGGAACCTGGAGCCATGATCTCCCTCATGAACTCTCCAGCTTCCTCTACCACTCTCCCATCACCCATTCCACTCAGACCCCTCCTTGCTGGTCCCCAAACATGCCAAGCACACTGCTACCTCAGGGCCGTTGCATGTGCTCTTTCCTCTGCCTGGTACTGTTCCCCCAGATGTCTGCATGGCTTACTCTTTCACCTCCAAGTTTTTTGTTCAGAAGTCATCAGAGAGACTTGCCCTGAACATCTGATTTAGCATCATGACCTTCTGTCCCACCTTAATGCTCATCCCTGCTTGCTTGCTTCCCTCCCTCCCTTCCTTTCTCTTCATTTTCTTTCCTTCCTTCCTTTCCTTTTTCCTTCTCTTTTCCCTTCTTTCTTCCCTTCCCTTCCCTCCTCCCTTCCCTCTTCCCTTCCCTTCATTTCTTTCTTTCCTTCCCTTCCCCCTTCCCCCTTCCCCCTTCCCCCTTCCCCCTTCCCCCTTCCCTTCCCTTCCCTTCGGTAGCACTTTTCATCCTCCACCACGTCATTAATTTGTTATGGAATTTATTGTCCATCTCCCTCACTCTAACGTAAGCACCATAGGAACATGGACTTTGTTCTCTGTCATGTCTTCAGTGCTGGTACCTTGCCTCGTTCATAGTAGGTGCTTAATCAACATGTACAAATGGATCTTCTCCCATCAGGAATCATCCTCCCAGCTGTTTCTGTTGTTATGTCTTCTGGATGGCAAGAAATTTGTCATACAACTGCTTGTGGCTGTTCTCCTGAGCCATAATGTTCCGTCATTTGGATCTTATACTTCTCTTATTTAGGGGGCTTAGCTGTTTGGTCACTTACGACATTCCTTACACTAACCAAATGTATTTTCTTGTTTAAAATTTATTGTGATGTATTGGTGCTGTAGTCTATGGCTCTTCAGACACTGGGATTTTGGACATTCCTTCTAAGGCTGAGTTTTGTGCAAAATTTAAGAACAGGGAATAGTGGTTGAGGGAGGGGACAACGTTATTTTTTAAAAGCATGTCTTGCACAAATTGAAAATCTAGTTAGTCATGGTAGGCTAGCTGCTAAAACAAATAGCCACCAAATATTAGTGTATTTCCATGATAAAAGTATATCTCTGTCTCATGTCCTATCCAGGTTGGTTGGGTCCCCATTCCATCTTGTAGTGAATGGGAAAAGATAATATAGAGTATTTCTGTGGAGGGTGCTATTTGCCAGGCCTGCAGGTAATGCACACCACTTCTCCTACATCCTGTTGGTCAGAATGTTATCCTATGGCCTCATCTAGCTGCAGGGGAGGCTACGAAAAATATTCTAGGTATGTGCTCAGGGAGAAAAAGCAATAAAGATTGGTGAACACTGACGGGTGTCTTCTTCCGCATTCTTGCTTCTCCAAACTTTTTTTCAGGTGACTCAACTTAGGTGGACTATTCTTATGCTCATTTTAGAGTTTTGCTGCTATGTTGACAGATGATGAAAGGCCAATCACTGTGTACTTACTATGTGCTTAGTGTTTCTATTTCAAATTTAGATCATTGGCTCTAAACTGGATTAGAGATAACAAATGAATTTTTGTAATATATTAGAAAATGTTTCTGGTGTTCTAAATTATGCCAAATATATTGTTCTAACCCTTAAACCTCTATTGAAAGTAGAATAGCAGAAGTGATTGACCATAGAATAAAACCAAAAAATGATTCTTTGTATGGAAAAAATCAAGGTACTGACTTTTGTATTTGATACCTGCAGAAGCAAATCCATGAATGGAATTTTACAGCTGCTTCCATTAAGGGAATAAGGTAAGATCATAAAAGAAAATACAATTATTTTTTAAAGATTTTATTTATTTATTTTTAGAGAGAGGCTAAGGGAGGGAGAAAGAGGAGAGAAACATCAATGTGTGGTTGCCTCTCACATGACCCCTACTGGAGACCAGCCTGCAGCCCAGGCATGTGCCCTGACTGGAAATCAAACCGGTGACCCTTTGGTTCGCAGTCCGGCACTCAATCCACTGAGCCACACCAGCCAGGGCTAATTATTTTTTTAAATACAGATAAATGATAATGATTTTTTCCGATAATAATAATGTTTTATTACTTTAATGTTTCCACTTATATGTGTGATGTTGTAATTTTTAAAGGACTCCAAAATGGACTATTTTCACTTTGGTTGCCCTGTCTGAGCTTGTTCATAATGTATTGCTAGTAAGGGCTTCTTTTTATAACAGAGTAGTTTTCTTTGTATGCAACAGACCAAACTCTGTTGTCTCAAACTTTTAAAAAATATCTGTAGAAAGAGAAAGTGTTTCTTCTTTAATCCAATAATGTGAGAGTATTCAGGGACCCCACCTCCACCCCAAACTAGAGTTTGGAGTTACTTGGTAATGACCTTTGGCTCAGGTCTCCTGGACATTGTTATTAATGAGGGAGTGGGGCAGTGTGTTCTGAGGAGAGGTGTAATGCATGCTCTTTGGGTCAGAAGTGGCAACTGTTTGGGCCTAAACCACATGGCTACACTCTGAGTCTCACCCTGCCAACACATCCAAGAGTGGATGCAGGTCTGAAGTCGATATGAGTTGTAATCCTTCTTTTGGTGCTTGACCTTGGGAAAGTCACTCAGCCTCTCTAGGTCTCAGTTTCTTCTAGTTTCCATCAAACCAGGGTCTTGAACTACTGCTCTATGTCTTTTCTCTGATTCTGAGTCCACAGGCCACTGAGTGAATCACCTGTTACCTCCAGACACAGTATGATCCTGTCCTAAACATATCAGTGTTTAAATTAGGATAATGTTTGTTGCTTTAAAGGGGGAGAAATGACTTAAGAACAGAGTAGGGTATTTGAAGAATACTATTCAGAAAATATAAGATAATTAAAAAAGTGTTGAACATTTTCAAAAATGTATTAGTAACTAAGTTGTATGAGAACACGTAGTCAAGAAACTTTTGTTTGTACCCTCTCATAGAGATACCTCTTGCTGCCATTTCCACCATCAACAGGAATGTTCAAAGGGCCCTGGGTGAATCAGACCCTGGGACCAATGTTGACATGAAGAGCATATGTTGAACATTTTCATTGCTATCCAACTAACTGGTAGTTCTTTATGGCTTGGTTTTCAAAATTTACTCATGTATAACCTAGTTTTAATTCTTTTTGAATCACCCTGTACAGCTTAAGCTGTTTCAACTCAGTATTTGTCATATAATTGATAATATATGAAGAATGGTCAAGGAGCTATGGGTCCCAGGAAGAGATCATTTAGAATGGGCAAAATGAGGGCCATTGTGTGGCTTTGGTGTGGGTAAAGAACTTTTTAGCAGTGAAATCCATCAGCACATGGAGTGTGGTGATTTTTTTTGTCACTGGATGTACACATTACCTCTTTAACACATCCATGTGTACATTACCTCTTAAAGGCACTGTAGACTCAGATCCAGACCTTGGGTAGGGATGGACCAGGTAACATTTAAAAGCCTTTTTTGAGCTAAGATACCATGTTTATTTCTCCTTCCCTTGTATGGCTACAAACACTGTGTCCTGATATTTTTGAAATCGAGAAATTCATTTATTATGATAAATTATTTCATAAATACCTTTCCTGTCTTTTTTTTTTTTGTAAAATTATAAGCTCTTGAGGACAGAGGCCACATTTTATTCCCTTTTCTGCTGCCCATATGCTTTGCTTAGCACTGAATATATAGTAAGTTCTTGATACATAATAAAGTCAGTTAATGAATACAAACTCTAACATATGATAAATGTCCCACTATTTAAATTTCATAGAGAAATGTCAAATTTTGAGGGTATTTGTTAAAACAATGATTCTTAAAAATTTGTAAAATGGAAGAAAATCTGTTACTAGATTTTTCTCAAAATGTTAAAATTAATATCATCACATATATTAGAAGCATTCTTATGTTTTGAATTTTTACAGCATATCCAGGTTTGATGAACGATATTGTTTTCTTTATGTTCATGGAAATTCTGATGACTTTCAAATCTACTTTTCCACCAAAGAGCACTGTAGTAGGTGAGTTATAGATGATTCAAATATTTGCAATATAATTATGGTGAATAATTTTTTTAAAAGGCCTTTCTTGTGAAAGTACTTATTTGCTCTACTGCCTTTCCTGAAGTTTTAACTTATGAAAATTGTTTTTGCAGCTTTATTGAGATAAGATACACATACCATTCAATTCATCTATTTAAAGTATACAATTTAATCTTTTTTAGTAAATTTACAGTTTTGCCATCATCACCACAATCTATTTTTCGAATATTTTCATTGCTCCCAAAGGAAGCTCAGTATCTACTAACAGTCACTCCCCATTTTCCCTCTAACCCTAGCCCCAGGCAACCATTAATCTACTTTCTGTCTCTGTAGATTTGCCTATTCTTGACATTTCATATAAATAAAATACAGGTTGTGATCTTTTGTGACTGGCTTCTTCCAACTAATACAAAGTTTTCAAGTTTATCTGTGTTGTAGCATGTACCAGTACTTCATTCCCTTTTGTGACTGAATAGTATTCCATTGTATGGATAGACCACATTTAATTTATCTGTTTATCAGGTAAAGGCATTTTGGGTTGTTTTCACTTTTTTGGCTATTATTAATAATACTGCTATGAATATTTGTGTGCAGGTTTTTGTGTGGACATGTTTTCATTTCCCCTGGAGCCAAATTTCTGTTTTCTTAGGTCTTATAGTAACTCTGTTTAACCTTTTGAGGAACTACCAGACTTGTGGAAATTACTTTTAACTTGTACAATATTCTTCCCTGCCATCTTACCAGAGTCAAATCACCTGTATGCAGATAAACTACTACCCAAGTTTAGGGAGTAGCTGATATGGCCTAGTAGCATTTGTGAGAAAGATATATGGGTAGTAGTTGATAATTAAGCTTAATCTGTGTCAATAGAATGAGGCCACCTTATGCATTTTCTTCTCACATCTCCCTTGTACAAGACCTTATTTCTTACCAATAACTAGAGTGTCTACAACTTGAAAAGATGATGGTCCCACTGTCCTTAGCACTGGTTAAAAAGTGTTCCTAGAACACTTGTCACAGGGCCAGACTTGGAGAGTATTACAGGGACACCTTTGAAGAATTACCTCTTAGTGTAATGACTCACAAACAAGTCTTGGGGGAAACATTGAGGGAACAAGGGGGAAAGACTTATAGGGACATAATAAAATTATGTACTTTTCTAACAGGCTGTTCTGTAGAAAGGGGATTAATTCTAAGGAATCTGTGGGTAACACCCACATAAAGAAGCCTTAGTTCAGTATAAGTGAAGCATTTCTCGAGTTTTTCAAAGAATTAGCTTCCTTGTGAGGTAAAGAGTTACCTGTCACTGGAGGTGGTCAAGCATCAACTCACCAACTTGTGGGGATACTATATAGAGGGCATTCAAGTATCATGTGGGTATTTGAACTAGATTAGATAATCATTAAAGTACCATGTCTAATCAGGGAGTGGATTGATTGTTCCATGAACTTGTAAAAGGCTGGTTTATATTTAATTGCAGTTTAATGTAAGAAGGTAAAGTAAAGGTAGGGAACAAAAGTGATCATAATTAGCAGCATCTTTGTGACATTTGCTGTTCCAGGTTTTGCTCTTTGGTCAAAGAGATGATAACCAGTGCAGAGGAGAATATAGTGGAACTGGAGGGACAGACAGGTGGGGACACCTTAGAGGTGAGTCATGGAAGACCTAGAACATGGAAAAAGTAATTTATTGTATCTTTGATGCTTAAAGAAAATGCCCCATTTTGTGTGAAATTTTTTATATGTGTATTTAAAAATACTCATTTATGAAGAAACTAACCATCACTAACCATGACTTTCAGAGATTACGTTTAATGCCTCTCTATAGAAAAACCTTATTTGGGGATCCTCTGAGCTAGCATATTTAAGAAGAGTTTGGCATGGATTAGACTAAAATTTCCTGTTGTGCACAACCTCAGGAGAAGTTTTTTTCTAAGCCAATTAATAATGTCTGAGATTAAAAGAGAAATAGTTGATCAATGGAAGCAGACTTTTTCGCTTATGCCTACAGTAACTTTAGTTATAGCTACTTGCGCATAATATATTAAATATAACAATTTAAAAATCATTTTAAGAAAGTAAGATTATCATAAGCTCTTTTGAATAGCACAGTTGTAGTCCACCATTACACATTTATTTAAATCTTGTGCAATTATTCAGATTTGCCATTAATCCAGGTTCTCCCAATGATTACAATTTAATGAAGTTTTATTATACTTTCAAGTTAGACTGAAATTAATTCCTTGAGGCTTCTTTCAGGATAATATCAAAGAGGTCATTTTAATAATAGAGTCAGGTACTTGAATTCTTAGCTTTGAATCAAAGTGTATTGAAGAAATGAACTGAGTGATATACTTTGAAGATAACAGATGTGGGGCAGAGAAAGGTGTAAGATAAAAAGCCTTTATGGAGCAGGCTGATGATATCTGGTTTAATTGGACAATGATGGGGACCCTTTAGTAAACTTAATTGTTATGAACACCACTAGAAGTAGATAGGAAGAGACATGCATGCATGCTGTCCTGTGCATTTCCGTAAGTTGACACAGTAGAGCATAGGAAACAACAAAGAATCTGTTGCTGCTCTGCTTTACATAAGGATTGCTCATCCTAGAATTCTATTTGTTTTAATCCTCGAGAAGATATAACTGGAATGCAGCTCTGCACCAACTTTTGATGATAAGTTGTGGGGGAAAAAATAGCAGTCCTACTTGTAGGTCAATTTTTATGGTATGTGTAACCCTAGGTTTATACATCTAAAGGTGGGGGCAGCCCCACATACATATTTTGCATTAAGACAATTTCAATTTTACTGACGTTTGATTATTTTCTGGGCTATGGAAGGAGGTTTATTTCCTGACAGGTTGATAAGGGATCATGCAGGAAAACACCTACTTGGAGTAGTTGAGATGCTAAGAGGCTTTTTTTTTTTTTTGGCATTTTTAATTTGCAGCATTAAAGTGGGAAAAATTCTCCAAAAGGTGAGCTAGCTAAGTTTCATATGAGCCATATTTTTAAATTTCTTGGATTCCATTTCAGAAAATCATGTTATGAATATGTGGGTAACTGAGAATTCTACCCCTTTAAAGTAAGTAATTGAAAGAACATAACCTAAGAAATGTGACCTGCCTGGTAGTCAAATAGCATTATTCAAAAATTTTTAAAAATTGCTGGATAATGTTTGGGCTTTTGTGGGGCCCAAAAGTATACCACAAGTAGTATACTTTTTTTTTTTAATCTTGCTTTTCCTTCTTCAGTATGAGTATGACCGTGATGCAAATGGTAATCGAATTGTGCTGGGGAGAGGTGCGTATGGGATCGTGTATGCCGGGAGAGATCTGAGCAATCAAGTACGGATAGCTATCAAAGAAATCCCAGAGAGAGGCAGGCAAGTGGATCAGACCTTCCACATTTCTGCAGTCACCACCTCTACAACCAAATCCTGTGCCATTCACTGACAGTGCAGATGATTTAGGAATGACAGCATTATGTCATCAAAAAATTTGCAATTCTCTTGTAATAAGGGTGATTTACTTTTGTTGTCCGCATATTATGAACAGTTGAGGAAAACGGACTATTTCACTTAGGGGCATGTGGATTGCAGTCATATTTTAAAAGAAAACTAGTTTTATTTCCCTCGATCAACTAGGTCTACAGTTTTACATTTTTACATAGTTGTTTGCAAACATTTAAAAATGTGACTCAGTATTTTAATTCACACTGTAACCATTTTAAATGGCTATCATTTATTCAGATATGTCATTACAGAAAATTAAATGTGGTAAAAAAAATTAGCTTTTTGCAATACAGACTTCTTTTATATCCTGCCCTTCAATCTCACCCATAGATTTTGGGGTTTTTATAATCACCACTAATACTGAATTTCTTCAACATTTTTAGAGTCTAATTAAATATTTATTTCTTTTTAAATTCATCTACCTCCTAATTCTACACAAGTACATTGCAGTCCTACTTGTAGGTCAATTTTTGTAGGCTGATTGTGTAGTGTTTTTGTAGAGAAGCTACATACACAGTAATGGCCACAGCATAAGAGATAATAGCTTCATGCTCCATAGGTGTGGTCAGACCACATCTGCACTGTTGCCTTCAGTGCTGGACACTGATGGCCATGCGCAAAGAACCCTCCACCCAGGTGGTTGGTGAATTATTAGGAATTGCTAACAAGTGATTTCCAGCAGCTGTAAGACCCTTTATTCATTCATTTGTTCTTTCATTCACTTTCATTTCATTTGTTTGTTTTTAATGGGATTGCATGTTATCATGTTTAAATTATAAGGCAAGATCTTAGAGGAACTCATTCAACTTCTTCCAAGGCTGAGGAAGATTAAATGACTTCACTAAGAACACAAAGAAACAAGACTAGGATCCAGCCTCTTGAATTTCTCGTTCAGTATTCTGTCTCCTGTTCTCACAATGGCTAAGGTGTTGCAGTTGGTTTGGAGGGGGGGGGCACTTCTGGCACGTACTACCTCCTTCAGCTGATTGCTATAGTTGTTTCAGCTTTTCATTGCTGATAGTTGTTCCTGAGCTTCAGAACTAGGAGGGACCTGAGGGACTGTTTTGTCCCATTTCCTAAATTTGCAGGCTGAACTTAAGATATTGGGCACCTTCTCTTTCTGGGCTGGCACTGTGGCCTGAAAGTTTACTAGGATACTGTCCTTCTCCTGGCTGAGTTGCGGCAAGTTTGAGAAAATAAATCATTTTTGAGGTGGTATTTGAGAGATGACTAGGAGCTTGTTTGGTAGAAAAGGAGGCCAAAGCATTCTATGCTGAGGGAGGAAGAGAGCTATTAAGCACAGTGTATTCAGAGAACAATAAATTGTTGTGACTTGAATGTAAAATGTAGGTCAGTGGGGGCTCTTGAGATGAAGCAAAAAAAATTTAAATATGTAGTCTGACCTGAGTTTGAAGATCCTTGTGTGCCATGTTAAACAATATGGTCTTTATGTGGACTTTGTGAAGGGAAGTAAAATGATGAGGTTTGTGTTTTAGGAAGAGGGAATATGGTGGCCAGAGATAGCACCAACTAAAGAGGCCAGAGGCTGGGACAGAAAGGTCCCTTCACTAGCTTCTGCTGTAGTCTGGAGTGAGTCTGCAGAATGAGACCAGAAGGCAGGAGTACATAACCTTCTAGAACAGCACCCTTCATGGGGACTGGTGAGAGAAGTCAAGGATAGTTGGAGAATTCAGGCCCTAACAACACTAGCAGTAGTAACAACAGCAGCCGTAACAACAGCAGCCACTTATTGAGTACCTACTACACAGCAGGCATTCCACTGGGTACCTGAGAAATTTGACACACTTTGGCCCCCAGCAGCCCTTTGTGGCTGGTATTACTACCACTAAGTTACAGAAGTAATTCATTCCTCTCCTATGTTCTACAAACATTCTGTGTGCTCAATTATGACACTTGCCACTCTGGCTCCCAGGCAAGGTTTCTGCATTCCCTACCAAACTGGGAGCACCCTGGGATAAGGACAGTGTCCTAGTAACTGAGTAGACTCATGGGAGCCAAGGGAGAGAAGGTTTACAGAAAGAAGGAATGGCCAGTATCAGGGCAGGTACTGGTGATATGATGTGGACCCTAAGCCCCAGGGATTTGACAAGTGATGCCAGCTTTGTTTTTCCTAGTAGACACTCCCAGTCTCTTCATGAGGAAATAGCCCTACACAAGTACCTCAAGCACCGCAATGTTGTTCAGTACCTGGGCTCCATTTCGGAAAACGGCTACATTAAGATATTCATGGAGCAGGTGCCTGGCGGTGAGTAGTTGCTGGGTCTGGTCTCTGAAAGTCACTGATGGAAATATAATATACACATCATTATCCATCCTGCCATTTAAAAATGACAGGCCTCTCAGATGTGGAAGAGCGTGTATCACTCAGGAGCTGGACGAAAACTTTCCGGTTCACGTAAATAGTATTTCTGGTTTGTTAATTCAATCTTCAAACATTCATTGAGAATCTGTGGCTGAGTGCTGGATACAAAGATGAATAAAGCGTAGTCTCTGGTTTTGAGGCCTTCACAGTCTAAGAGCTTAAAAGGTGGTTTAGACATTGCAAAACAACATGTCGACAGAGAAATCGAACACCAAATGCATCTTATCTGCAAATTTATCTGCAAAATCCCCAAATGCAGCAGTATGGTGCAAGAGTAAGAAGAGTTCCTTGGGTCCAGAACCAGATCATCTACTTCGAATTGGCCCTTCCATATGCAAGTTCTGTGACCTTAGACAGTTTCTTTACCTCTCTGTGCCCTCAGTTTTCTGATTAACTAAATGATTTGTAAAATCAGAGTAATAACAATATCACTATAATATTTGGTATAGTAATAATTACTGTCATAATAGTGCCCCTTTCTTTGTGGGGTTTTGGATGGATTAAATGAGAAAATATATGTGAAGCTCTCAAAACAGTGCCTGGAAGAAAGTGAGAACTCAATCAATGTTCATTCAAAAATAAGAGTAATAAAATAATAAGGAATAATAATAATTATGATCTCAATACAAAATATAAAAACTTCAGTTAGAAATCTGTATTCACTCATTCAACCAACAATTATTAAGAGCCTACTATCACATTAGGAGCCTAACTATATATATTAAGAGCCAGATAGTGGGCTTGAGTTTGAGGGTTACATTAAGGAGAAATAAAGTTTCTTCCCTCAGTTTGCTCACAGTCAAGCAGAAAATATATCAATTGCTGTTCTCATTTATTGATATTCCAGGCATAAAGTTTAAGGATGACAGTGGAAATGAGGAAATGAGGCATAGCAAAGTTCCCCACAGCTCTGGGTTAGGGGGGAAGCCAAGACTGGCTGATGCCTGGGAGTCTGCACAATGCCCTTTGAAACATATGATCAGGATGAAGTGAAGGAAGGTTTACTTTGGGCCCAAAGGTTCGATGTTTAATAGTATAATTGCAGGGGAGTTGCTAAGATGGCTTTGTCCCTGTGACCTGGCATTGGGGGCTTCTCACAGTGAGGATGGAGAGACCCAACATCCTCTGGTCCTCGTCCCTGTCACCCCACAGTGCTCCTCTCTCTGGTCCTATTCACCTTTGAACTCAGGGCGAGGTGTAAAATGTGGCTTTGACCAAAGCCGAATGGCTGAGACACTTGTCCAGGATCTATGGTGTTGGGCCAGCCCTCCCAAGGTCAGAGACACATTGCTGCACTCTCCTTCTGATTTTGTGCAGCTGAACAGGGCTAAACCCAAAGGTAGCCCTGGTGAATTTCCAGGGTCACGAGGAGTTCATATTCACCCTCCACCTCCTGCAGTCAGGCTGATGTGCTGATTCCCTTCCAGTGCCTTCTCTGGCTGCGGTGCTCACACATCTGGGAACAGGCAACAGAGGGGGAAGAAAGGCATTGCATTTAGCCCAGCTACAGAGATTTTGGTGTGAGTGCTTACATTAGGATAGAAACACCACCTGACCTTATTTCCCTGAACTCTTAGAATTGAATCTTGGTCACCCTGATGAATTTTCTGCTGTGTCTATTTCCAGGAAGCCTTTCTGCTCTTTTGCAATCAAAGTGGGGGCCGATAAAGGAGTCCACCATCAAGTTTTACACCAAGCAGATCCTGGAAGGCCTTAAGTATCTCCATGAAAACCAGATTGTGCACAGAGACATAAAGGTATTTGCTTGTCTGAGCCAAAGGAGTCTTGTTAGTACATCTCAGATCACACCAGCTGCTGGCAGTGTCTGTAGACTGGCTAGCTCGCCGAAGGGAAAGGATTGAGCATGACAGTTCCTAAAGTGCACAGTCTAGTCTTCCTAGACAATTGTGACTGTTTCTTAAGGTCCAAGTTTGTTTTGTGTTTGTTTTTTGAAATGTCTTTAAGCGTTTGTTCTTCATTCTTCTCTAAAGGGTGATAATGTTCTGGTGAATATCTATAGTGGAGTGGTGAAAATCTCCGATTTTGGAACATCTAAACGCCTTGTGGGAGTGAATGCATGTACAGACACTTTTGCTGGTAAGCAGAACAAAACTTGGCATGTGGGCAGTTGATCATAGAAGTGGATGGTTTTTTTGTCCCCGACTTCAAATTGTTTGAACTTTGTCATAATGATGCACTTAGCCAGCTACTGGGGCAACAAGATTGCCTTACTTTTCTTCTTTGCCTTCAAAGGTTGGGGGGCTGTAGCGCTCTGTTTGAGGTTTCCTGAGGGTTTCTAACCAATCAGCAAAATGGTGACATCTCTTTTAAGTTAGTAGCATGTAATTTGGAATTGTGGGTAATTCTGAAGAACACTATTCCTCAGATAACTTAGTAGAGCATTTTATTGGCCTGTCATAAGAATAGCCTGTTAACTTGAATGAATTCTGGTACCTTGTACCAGAATTGATAGGATTAAATGTCCAAAGGCAGAAACATGGTACTCCTAAGTGGGTTTGAGGCATTGAAGTTTCTTTTGCATGTGTCAGTGATGGATCATTTAAGTGTTGAGAGGGACTGGATTCACAAAGTGATCTAAAATTGCCAGCTAGCTTTCCATTTACAAGACCAATGAGTAGAATGATGCTCAAAAGATACCTATGGCTTTTTAAAACTCCTGCTTAAAAGCAACTATAGCAAAAACTTTCATCCTTAGAAAGAAGTACTAATTTTGAATAAGTAAAGATTTATGATCCCCTAAGGTTTAATAAAGGGATCACAAAGATCATGCTTGATGGAATTATGAAACAGCACTTGTGATTTTATAGCTCTGAAATAAGCTATATAAAAGCCAGGTGACTGTTCTCTGTTCCTGTAGCACCAAAGTGTACAGTGGACAGATTTAGTCTTAGTGTGGATGAATAATATCTCAGCTTGGGAAGACTTTTCTTCAACAAGAGACCTATTGTATGTCAGTCACTGGACACCCACAGTAGAGACACATTGTCTAGCTAAAGAGAACTTTCATGCATCAGAAAGGACTTTTCAGTTATAAACCAGGGGAGGTACATGTACCTCAAAATGGAAAAATGTTACACCAAGGATTCCACCATAATCTGCCAAAGGAAGAGTGTGTGAAATTTTCTTTCGTCGTTTCTGATACAAAAATATGTATATCAACAGGTATATAAGATATATACATATGTATGTATGACTGGCACATTTTTTTACTACCTCAATTGAAAATGACTTATATCCTCCTCTTTGGAAGCTACCAGTTAGCTTGGCAATATGACTCTGATATGACAAGAAGTTATTTCAAGACATAAAACCCCCAACAATTTATCTCATAATTAGCATCCCCATGGAGAAAAAAATTCACAAAGAAAAGACGTGTATAATTCATTATTGCATATCACATTTTCCCAATTAATTGGCTTGAGGAGGCATGAATTTTGCATTGCAAAATAATGCAGGGGTGTTTGGGGAATAATAAAGAAGTCTTATTTTGGGTAGGAAATTCCCCTACATATAATTACTCTTTGCAAAACAGAACAGTTCTGTAAAGACATCTCAGCCTGCTGGTGTGTGAGGTGGGCCTTTTCCACACAAATGCCCAGAGGCTCTTGGAACCTGGAAGGAGAGCCACAGGCTTCCAGCAACTTCCCGGCCTGAAATCCTCTGTTCCGGAGTTCCTCTAAAGGGTTTTCATGTGCGTGTAAACCAGCTAGAACAGGAGGAAGGGCCTTTATGGCCAGGGCCAGCCCCCTGTGCTTTTGTTTATTGACAGTGTTATTGAGGTATAACTTACATATCATAAAATGAACCCATTTGAAGTGCACAAGTCAATGGTTTCTAGTCAGTTTTCCTAGGTGTGCAGCCATCGCCACAAGCTAGGTTTCGAATGTTTCCACCCCCCGGCAAAAGGTCCCTGTGCCACTCTGCAGTTAATCTCCATTCTCATCCAGCCCCAGGTGAGCACTGATCTACCCTCCTTTTGCGTATATTTGCTCCTGAGATTTCACAGAGGATGAGTAGTAGCATGTATAGTCCTTTGCATGGAGCTTCTTTCACTGCAGTCTTTCTGAGGTTCACCCATTACAGCCTGTGTTAGCACTTGGTTCCTTTTCTGGTTGAGTAGTCTTCCATTGTGTGGCTAGGCCACATTCTGTTTATCCACCTACCAGTTAGTAGTCAGTGGGATTATTTCCACTTTGGGGGCTATTGTGAATGACACAGCTGTGAACTCTCACAACCAAGCCTTTGTCTGGAAACATTTTCATTCCCCTTGGGTCGATACAGAGGAGTGGAACTCAGGACAGGAACTCTGTTCTGGTCTATGGCTGTAAACGTCCTTGGTTCAGATTCAGGCTCAATCACTTGCTAGCTGTGTGACCTTGGGCATGTTCTTTAATAAACTCTCTGTGCCTCAGTTGCTTCACAAGTAAAACAGAGATGCTCTTAGTACCTACTTCATAGAGTTTCTTTTATGAAGGTTAAATGAGTAAATATTGGTGAAGTGTGTTGACCAGTATCTGATTCATAGCAAATGCAACTGAAGTATTTGTGAAATAAGTACTACTTTGCACTTAGAGGTCACAGGTTATTAGAGCCAGAAGGGGCCTTTGAGAGAATTGAATTTTGGGGCATAACTCACATGTTAAACATGTTGGACTGAGCGTGTAATCATAACAGCCATTTTATTTTTGTCTCCCACTGCCCTTTACATCCTGCCAAGGGCACTAGTCCTTTCCTGTGACTTTTCCAGCCACCATTAGGTAACAGGGAAAGTCTTTCTTTTAATTTTTAGTTTCTTATTTATTTGTATTTTTCAATAACAACTTACATTTAATATTCTGTATTAGTTTTAGATGTTCTACATAGTGGCTAGAAAATCATGTACTTGACAGAGTGGTCCCCCAATGTTTCAAGTACCCACCTGACACCATGCATAGTTATCACAATATTACTGACTATATTCCCTATGCTGTAATCTGCATCTCCATACTGTTCTGAAACTACCAATCTGTACTTCTTAATCCCTTCATTTTTTTTACTCAGTTCCCAAAACCTTCCTTCCCTCTGAAAACTGTCTGTCCTCAAAGAGAAAGTCTTAATGGCACTTTGAGAAGCTAACACAGTCAGCACACAGTACTTGGAAGAGTTCCAGCTACCATACTGGTCAGTGCTCTGGTCCTCATTAAAGGGGTAGACTCTTCCCCTGTCCCTGCTGGCCCAGTGGCGGGCAGCACCAGAGTTGGGATGTAGGCCTTTTCTCCTTCCCTCACCTCTTTCCTCTGGGCTAGCTGCAGGAGGAGAGGAAAGGGCCACAGCACATTTTCACTTGACTCCCCCTGTCCTAGGCTGGCTTTGTGTGCTATTACTATTAACACTCTCTGACTGGGTCCCTCTGAGTATAGCTCTCATGCCAAGGGCAGGGGCCTGTCCTTTAAGCTGACCGTCCCCTGTCCCCACCCAGTCTTTTACTCCTCACATTATATTCTCCTGTCCATCTCTCCCTGCTGAGGGATCCAGGACTGCCTTTGGGCAGGATTCCTTTTTAAAAGACCCTAAAGCATTATTTATATAACAAGTCCCACATCTGGTATCTGGGGTTCATGTACCTCTCACCTGCTGTCAAAAGGGAATGGCAATATCTGTAGACGGTATGGTCCCCCACACTGCTGCTCTAAGCCACTTTTGTTCCCATGGGAACCATCTATCTGTGTCCCTTACTTGCAGGGGACACATACATATGTAGCTCTGAGTTGACCCCAAGGAGCCTGCAAAAGGCTTTGGATAGAAGGAAGTGGGGCCCCTTTCCACCAGGGCCATCCCTTGGGCAGGGCAACTGGGGAGGCCCCTGGGGCCATGGGAAGCTGCACCTTACTTCTCATTTATGTACTTCATTAATATTAAATTTTGAAATTTTGGCCTCTAACATTATCTTGAGGGACCCATGGAAGATGCTAATACATGTGATCTCCTTTCAAGTGTGATTATGCTGAGTGAATGTTGAGTTGCTTAAGTCACTATAGGTCCCTACCTTTCTGGGGACAGCCCTTCCCCAATTCCTTTAATGAGAAAGAGTAGACCTTCTAGCACAGTTCTCTTTAAAGAAGTCACTTTCAACACCTCTTATCTCCAGTCTCTACTCTTTCAACCTTTTGAACCCCTTGATCTGGGTGGGAGGCTTCTGCACCAGTACCTGTAGATCTTTTGGTCACCTTGTTCGGAATTCCACACCCCTGCATGGATTTCAGTACCTGAGAGCCATGGCTGGCCAGGTGAGCAGTGTGTGGACACACTCGGGGTTGAGGGAGTGCACTTAGGGAAGATATGAAACCCTTTAGAGGGCCATTTTTAAGGCAAGCAAATTTTTCAGGAGTCCCACATTACTCAGATACCCTCTGTGGCATCTTCACTTGGTTTTCTTGACAAAAGCCACCCTTTGCTATAGCCTGTAGCATGCACACCACCCGGGGACAACCCCTTGACTGTTTGTAATAGTCACATGGCTCCATCTCTGGACTGTTTACAGGGAGTGGGTGGTTGCCCTAGGAATACCATAGTAAATAAAATGGAGCACCCAGGTCTCCACTGTTGCTCTACACCTTCTAGTCATATGGAAACAAGTCACATTATCTCTTTGGAAATCCTCGCATCAGCTCCTTTTATTCAGGGAGCTTTTCCTTCACTTGTGCTTCTCCTAGATTCATAACATAGATGAGCTCTGCCATGGTGTATAGCTACAGATTCAGAGAAGACCTGGGTTCTAGCTTGAGCAAATCCCCTGGCTGTTTCCTCAGATGTGAAATGGAAATAACAGTAGATAGTGCCTCTTCTGCCTGACCTCACGGAATTACGAGATTCAGATGGACAATACTCAGTGGAGACACTTTGTAAGCCATTGAGCACAAATCGGAAGTCTGATGCTGTGGCCAGTAGCCTCCATAATGTGCCCCCTCAGTGATCCCCACCTCCTGGTACTCACAGCCCTGTATAATTTCCTCACCTTGAATGAAAGCTAGACTTAGTGACTCACTTCTAATGAATCAAATAAGGTAGAGTGGTGATGTGTGACCTGGAGGCTAGGTCAGAAAAAAGAGTGGGACCTCCCTGTTGCTTGTTCTTTCTTGGATCACTTGCTCCAGGGGAAGCTATGTCTTGAGCCACCCTATTGAGGATTCCACTAGAAAGAAACTGGAGACTCTTCTCAACCCCCACATGAGTATGTGGGCTTAGAAGTGGATCCTCCAGCCCCAGTTGAGCCTTCAGGTGACTGCAGCTCCCACTGACATCTTGGCTGTGGTCTAATGAAACAGCCAGGCCAGATCCACCCAGCCCCGCTGTCTCTGGATCCCAAGAGTCTGAAACTGATCCTAAGTGTTGTTTTAAGCTGCTGAAGTTTGGGGTAATTTATTACATGGCCATAAATAATTAGTATGGATATCATTGGTAAGTCCTTGCCTTTAGAAAGAGTGGTGTTCACTATGATTCCCTATAAAGAAGGTCTACCAGTTTATCATTAAGTAGTTTAATCCTCCAACCATGAAATAGTTGTACTAAGGTGAGCATTATTTGACCAGTGTCAGTAAGCCATTGCATTTTAGTTTAGTGCTATTTTCTGCTGTTGAATAACTTGGTAAGTTTAGTCTCTTGCTCTTTTAAGAATTAACTTTTAGTGATTGTATTAGTCAGGGTCCAAACAGGAAAATTGAAATCACCCTAGGTGTTTTTACAGAGGCAATGTAATAGAAAGAACGGTTTACTGAGACTGAATTATCAGGAAGCAGTCTACAACCCTAGAGCTTGGCGGGGAGGATGTGCACCGGGAGGGTGGGATTCAGACCTCTCATGAGGTGATGCCGCTGGGCTGGAACAGGTAACTCTGAGGGGGCAAGATGAAGCTGGTTCTGGAAGTACAATAATACGTCAGTACTTGTCGGCTTCAGAACTTGTCAAACCCTGTAGTCGTCACATTTTGATGAGAAAAAAATGTTTCAGCACTCAGTGCTTGCTCAGGACTCATTGCACTTGGCTAGAACTTGTATGAGTCACAACACTGCCCTGCAAGAGAGAATGCTTTATCGTTCATGTACTAATCAGTTTCAGCACTCGTCACAAGTTCTGGAATGAATGAACGACAAGTACCGAGGTACAAATGTAATTGGATGATCAAGAATGCTAGAAACTGGAGCCAGGCACTGTCACTGGAACTTGCAAAGTAAAGCTTGCTCAGAGGAACAGCCAACCTCTTCCTCCTTCCTTCCAGACTCCCTCACCCTCTAGCACTGCTTACTGGCAGAGCCTAATAGGGAGCAGCTGGCAAAGCAGTAAAGTGGTTTGTAGATCCTCATACCCAGCATCACAGAGCATAACTAAGAGATAATAACTTAAGAAACAGCACAATGTCAAATTCTTCCTTAATGAATCAACTAAGGATTAGTTAGAAGGCACATTCCCTGCCAAGGCCTCTCCCTTGGTGCTTCACAGCAGCAGGAACCTGAAGGGGATATTGTGGCACTGGAAGTTCCTTCCCTTGGACTCTGGGAACTGCCTGACAGCACAACAATCGCCGAGCTTTCACATTGCCCAACCCTGCGGCCAGCTGAATGCTTCCCCGCCATGTTTTCAGCTGGGAGACCAAAGCTGCCATATCTGTCCTCCTGCTTTGTTAAACTCACTGATCCAACACAATTTATATTTAAGTTAGTAAGAATCAAAGACAGTTTTTACCATTTTAAATTAAAATTCTTCATTCTAACCAGCCACATTTCGAGGGCTCAACAGTTGTATGTGGTTAGTGGCTACCATAATGAACAGCACAGAATAGAACATTTCCATTATTACCAACATTCTATTGGTCAGAGTTGTCCTAGACCCTTTCAAAGGCTCATAGGAAGGAAAAGTGCTAATAGGACACTGGATCTTCAAGAGGAGGATGTAGCAGGTAACATCTCCATATGTTTTTTTAAACCAATGAGCTTTTTTCCCCCAATGATCAAGACTCAGGAAACATGCTTTGGTTGGTGATCTTGAGACAGGCACTTGAATTTTCTCTGTGCATCAGTGTTCTTTATTCACACCTTGGCCCATGTCATCTCTGAGTCTGCTGTGTAGTGTAAAACTCTTTGCCAGCTCATAGTGTCTGCTGCTGTTGCTTCTACACTTCCCCTTTCCTTGGGCTTAGTTTCAAGGAAAACCAAAGATTTTAACTGCCAGAACACTTGATTGCCCTCCCTGTTCCCTTTCCTTGAACAGCCCCTTCTCCCTGTCTGATCACCACTTTCCTTGTGACAACTGGTGGCTCATGAGCCACAGGAGAAAGGTCCAAAGCCTTTGGAATACAGTTTGCCATTGGGCTGTGCCCTGGCCACTGCTTCCTTCATTCTTCCCTCCCCTGCCCTGTGTCAGACATTGCTTGTGGTTCCCTGGACTCACTCACTCTGTACCTCACATCCATGGGCCTTTGCTCAAGCTCTTCCCCTTGCTTGGAAGTCCTCTCATCCTTTTGTCCACCTCCTTGACCTTTGTGCCAGGAGTCTGGTTCACTGGCAGTGCCTGCTACTGCCTCTTTGGATCTGTCACCTTGTTTATGGATGGTCATGCTTGACCCCGACTATTCCTAGCCAGTGACTCGGGGTGCTAGAACAAATATGGGACTCTTCCAGTGGGCAACTTTTGGGATTCCCAGCTGGCATGGCTAGAGCTTTCTCAGAGCTACTGTGCCATCTGAGATCCTTCCTACCCAATTCTTCCTTCATCTTCTCCTTTACCAGGCATCAGATCTGCAGTGCAGTTTGACAGCTCCTCCTGGCCATCCTGCTCCCTCCCTTTTTATCCTCCATACATACACCTTCTCCCCAGTAAATCTCTCATAAGTCTAATCCTGTCTTAGCATTTATTTCTGAGAGACCCAAACTGATTTAGCCATACCTTTCTCTGGCTTGAACCAGGCAGAATCAAGCAAGTTGTTATCCATATTTGTGAAGTCCTATGTGTATGCCTGGGGCTTTACTACATTTTATCATTGCCACTGTTACCACCACCACCACCATCATCATCATCATCATCATCATCATCATCATCATCATCATCGTGTCTGTCTCCTCCACTAGACAGCTTCCAAAGGCCCTTCACTGTTTCTTGCATTTTGGTGTCCCTCTATCTGGTGTGTGTTAATATGTGTGTATTAAATTGGGCCTATTTGTCCTTCAAGGGGCTGAGCAGCCTTCTCTCAATGTGGTTAGTACTAAAGGAAGACATGTTGCATGTCTCTGGTTAAAGAAAAGATGTGACCGCATCATTTATGCATGAGGCCAGGCCTCATCTGTCATTAATATGAGAGTTAAAGTTCACACTCTTGTTTACTAGTAATCTGCTTAGTTTCTAAGCAATAGGGTGCCCACAATGTGTGTTTTTTTTTTCAATAGGCACTCTGCAGTACATGGCACCTGAGATTATTGATCAAGGACTTCGTGGGTATGGTTCCCCCGCTGATATCTGGTCCCTGGGCTGCACCGTCATTGAGATGGCCACCGGCAGGCCTCCATTCCATGAGCTTGGTGATCCCCAAGTGGCAATGTACAAAGTAAGATATGTTTGGTGATTTAGGTTGTCGATGTTGGAGATATGTGATGAAAATCTAAATATCCTCCCAATCCAGAAACCCCTCCACAAAGATAGGAGAGAAAGGAAACAGTTTTATTGTTGAAAAAGCATTCAACCATAGTGTGATGTGTATCATAGGCAATCCAGTAAGAGATAATAAAGACAGAAATAACTGTCATCTTTTTATTGAACCAAGCAGTACAACCCTTTCCACCCGTGTTCTCAAGAGAAACACTAATTAGCCCTCAGGTGTGAGGACTGGACAGTGCCATTGGTCCCAAGAGCTCACCAGAGATTCATTGGGGTGACCATCTGTGTTATTTAACAGGCTTTACCCAAAGGAAAAATAACCTCAGATCTTTAAGACAGGTGGTAGTTTTGAAGTGAGGTGCCACTGAAGTTGGGCTCCTGTACTCCAACAGACACCGGGAGGTAGAGACATCACTTTCCTTGATGAGGACATTCAAAGAGATGGCTCCTGGGTCCTTGAGAAAAACATCCCCAGCAAGAGGCTTACCCACCTTTTCAAAATATTGATGTACACCTCAGAGAGAACTTACAAGTTTTCTAAAGTAAATGCTCTTAAGAAAAGAGGGATGCCTTTTCCCTTATTTTTAGCAAGGAGAATTAAGCCTCTTATTTTAAATCTGTATTTGCCTTTATACTGGGTAGTCTCAAAGGCCACATGGGTCTGTATCTTGGGAGAACAGGTTTCTGAATGGGTTTGGGAGAGGGGAACGTTGGGTAGCTGATGATTTTTCTTTGTCACTCTACACACCCTCCCAGAACTAATTTAAAACATTAATAAAAATACAAAATAAAACCTTCCCACAGCTAACAGGAAGGGCAACCCATGCACATGGAGGTCCACATAGGACCATTGGCCACTGTGAGTGGGGTTTTACCGCTGGACATGTCCCCTTGAGGATGTCACATACTTGCTAGTGGCTCCAAGGGAACCTGATGCCAGGACAGCCCTGTATGTCCAAGGTCGGGTCTGTCACTTCTGTCTCTGTATGCTTGGAAAAGTTGAAGAAGGCTGTAGTCTTAAGAATCCATTACCAGCCTTAACCTTGAGTGGAGCCTTTTTGTTTGCCCCAAGGGTAGGAAGGAAAAGAGGGAGTCACCAAAGGTCAAATGGCCGCTGCTTATGGACAATGAGATTGCAATGCATAAAAGCAGCCTGATGTAATGTGATTCCAGAATGTGATTTCTTCCTTTTTGCTTCTGAGCCCGCCTGTATTTCTGCCTGAAAGAAATGAAAGGCGCGAGTGCAGGTTTGTGCCCATGAGCTGAGTCCAGCCCAGCCCATGGTGCTGTGGGTGTTGTGGCTTCTCTCCTCAGCCCAGCCCCTGCAGAAGGTTCTCAGAGCTCCCCGCCCTCCCAGGAGCTGTCAGACAGTTCCAAAGCCTAGAACTCAAGTCAACAAATGTCTGTTGGCACCTGCAATCCCAACAAGACCCTGACTACCAGGGCTGGACCTCCCCTAGCCCTTCATGTCTCTCCATGATGGAGCTGACTGGGGCCATTGAAGCTCTTACCTGCCACTTCAGCCATGAGCCCCGGAATAAATAGGAGCTGGTGCTGAGAAAAACATCAGGACCAACCTGAGAGCCATGGCTGGCCAGCCACTATCTGATCTGTCAACTTCCTGCAACACTCAGGAAACCTCTCTGGAGGCTGTGACTTGCTCAGTTTATCCATAGGGCATAAGTCACTCCCCTCTCTTTCTTCCTTCTGTTTCTGGCTAGCTAATTAGCTATACAAAGTCTGAAAATATACTGAGTTTTTTAGGCTGGCATGTAAGGTCAGCTCTTATTGCAAACTAGAAAGCTACTATTAAAAAACGTCTCCTGTGTGCTTTTTGCAAAGACTGTAGAAGCTATTTCTGGGATCTCTAGAATCCTTCAGAAAAATTTCAAGAAACTTTTGAGTACTGTCTAAAACAAAAGGAACTGTTTGTTCCCCCCACCCCACACACACACACAAGTCGCTATTACAGGTTTAATTGTGCCCTCCAAAGAAAGATATTGAAGATCTAATCTCTAGTACCTCAGAATATGATATTATTTGGAAATAGGTTCTTTACAGAGATAATCAAGTTTAAAAGGAATCAGTCAGATGGGCCTAATACCGTATGACTGGTGACCTTATAAAAATGGGAAATTTGAGCACAGAGACAGACACCCACAGAGTGAAGAACTTTGAAGAGACACAGAGAGGTGGCCAAGTGAGAGTGGAGACAGAAATCGCAGTGGTGCATCTGTAAGCCAAGGAAAATCAAGCACTGCCAGCCGCCACCAGAAACTGGGAAGAAGAAAGGCAGGGTTCTGCCCTAGAGTCTTCAGAGAGAGAGAACTTGGCAGTGCTGACACCTAGGTTTCAGACTTTTAGCCTTCAGAGCTATGAGGCTACATTTGTTATTTTAAACCACCGACTTTGTCGTACTTTGTCATGAAAGCCCTGCGAAACCTTTGAATTAACAGTGAGGCACCCTTAAATAAAATGTAGTTACAGGATGCCACCCATGTTTGTTCTTTTCATTCTGAGACCCAGGGGAGGAGCCACCACTTACATTTTTGGGTTCTGGTTCTGAATTTTTGTCTCTGGTTCCCATAGTTCCCGCATGTCCCTGCCCCTCAGGCGAGGAGTGCCACCTGTAATGCACCCTGCATTTCAGGTCTTGGGGGTTCAGTTCCACCCAGTGTTTAGTGTTCTCAAAATTCAAAACTTGTTTTCAGATTTTTATTGTATTGTGTTAAGAACGCATAACATGAGATCTACCCCTTAACCAAGTTTTCAGTGCACAGTAAGTACCATCTGGTTGACTCCAGGTATGATGTTGTACAGCAGGTCTCTAAAACTTTCTCATCTCGCTTAACTGAAACCTTATGCCCTTTGGTTAGTAACTCTCCATTTCCCTGTCCCCCAACCCAAACTCTTGAGCCCGTGACAAGCAGCATGTCAGAAGTGGTAAGTGCACCCTGGTCAAAGGACTTGGGGATGTGAAGTCGAAAGGCCATTCTCTGCAGCACCCAGATCTTGCTTAGGGTGCAAGGGAGGCGTAGGCCAGCCCCGGGGGTGCTAAGGAGCTAGAAATGGGGTGGGTCTTGGGACCAGAGGGGCTTACACCCAGGGCTTATCTGGTGGGCTCCAAAAAGATGCGGAGTAGATTGCGAACTTTAAGATAAGAACTCCTAAGAAGAGAGAGCTGCCCCCGATGGGCACAGTTATACAGGATGGGTTATGCAAGATAGATGAGCAGGACTTGGGGAAGCACTCCCATGTCACAGTGACATGTGACAACTCAGCCCCAACCCCTGCTCCCCTCCATTCCACAGGGACAGAGAGCCTTTAGCAGGACAAGGATGAGCTGGCCAGAAGTGCGAGCCAAAATAGAAACTGTAGCAGGAACCTGAAGAGGAAAAGGCAGTGCCCCTCCCTTGTCCAGTTGTGCCCCCTGGGGATAAGGGTGCGGGTCATGAGGTACCAGCCTCCAGGTTTGGTCTGCATGTTTTGTGCCGCTGGAGGTAGGGGATTTGGGCTGTGAATGCACAGACACTTAGAGGTTAGTGGGCCATCCTTTCAGGGACTCTGTGTATCGTCAAACAGATCACAAATGCCTTTGAACCCCCTCAGTTAGAGCATCCTGCTGCATGCAGGCTGGGGTCCCAGCGTCAATCTCAGTTACAGTCTGTGTAACAAACCACCCCAAAACTATAGAGGCTGAAAACAGTCACTTTTTATTTCCCACGATTCTGTGGCCTGACCATTGGCTCCCCCTCTGGTCTTACCCAGGCTCACTTATGTGCTGGCTTGGCTGGGGCAGGATGCTCTGAGGCCCTCACTCACGTGGCCCTTCACCCTGGGTGTCCCCTCAGCATGGTGGTTTCAGGGCTCCAGGAGGGCTTGCAGCAGAGACCCTAAGGCTTCTTAAGGCCTGGGCTCTGAAACTGCCCCCACATCGTTGCCACCACAATCTCCTGGGCAAAGTCCCAGAGGCCAGTGGGGCTTGGACATGGGTGCAAGTCACTGAGGCTGCTGTGCTGCATCCCTAGCCCCTTAGGATGGCAAGTGGGGAGCTTTGTATCGAAGGCATGTATGCTAGGTCCCCTGAGGCCTCACTGTCACATCGATCGCCTCTCCCTTGAATGCAGGTGGGGATGTTTAAGATCCACCCTGAGATTCCGAAAGCCCTTTCAGCTGCAGCCAGAGCCTTCCTTTTATCCTGTTTTGAGCCGGAACCCCAGAAACGTGCCACTGCCACTGATCTTCTCAAAAAGAATTTCATAAGGGAAGTGACCAAGGACAAGAAGATCCAAATGACTCCCAAACCATCAGGTGAGGCCTACCAGGACAGCCGAGTGCCGCACTGGGCCCCTGGGTTCTGTGTTGGTGAGAGAGAGTGACAGCTCTCCAGAGCACTGAGTAAGCCCACACTGCGCCCACTTTGGTGAAGAGTGGCAGGAGTTCCAGCAGGTGTGGGGGTGTCAAAACAGCCAATAAATGCCCCTTGATTTCCTGACAGAGATGGAGGGAGCCCTACAGGTGACAGTGATGCCCTCCACCACCCTGTTAAAGTCTTTCTGGGGATTGTGCCAAGGAGGGAAGCCAGAGGGGCCCTGGCTGGGTTTTTGTGTCTTCCCCACCTGCAAGGCGTAGTGCTTCATTTTTGGAGCCGAGCCTATCCTGGTCCCTTGTGCAGCTCCTGACCTTGATTAAAGGGCATGTCTGGGGTATTTGCCTGTGGTGGCTGTCCCGTAGTCCACTGTAGCCAGGCGATGCCTTCTAGGGCAGCAAGTCCTACTGGCAGTGACCTAAGAGTGGCCCCTGAAAAGGAAGCTGTTTTCTTTTCCCTGGTGTGGCTGGAGTCAGAGGCAGAACAGAGCGGCTCAGCGTACTGCCCCCAGAGCGTGACTAGCTACATCAGTGTTTCCCACAGGCTGCTTAGAACCCAGAGCCTTAGGCCCATCACAGACATGCCGAAGCAGAAACCACATCTTACCAGGATCCCTGGATATTTGTTTGCACCCATTAGGACAGCATAGGCTTAGAAAGCCCAGCAAGGGTCCTCTCTCAGCCTGCTGCACCCGTCCCAGCCTCCCCGCCCTAGCATCCTCCCTCTCTTAACCCACCCCTTTTGCACCCTCCGTCTCTGAGCCCACCCTACCTTTCTGACTCTCCTCCCCTTCATCTTTGCCCCCACACAGAGGATTCCCAGGCCACTGCCCCGGCCGTGGACAAGGGTAAGTGCGTGAGCCACAGCAGGAGGGAGTGTGACCCTGGCCCCCCGGAGGTGGATGCCCAGCCTGATAGGTCCTCTGAGAGATCCTGGGAGCCCAAGCATGATATCTGTCAGCTACTCAGGTACTGCCTGTCCTGTCCTTTCACTGTTGGTCTATGAGGGCTGCTCATTCAGTGGGGAGGGGAGGGCGGAATATCCCACTGTCAAAATCAGATGGATGTGAAGGGCTTTTGCTTCCTTCTGCTGGATCCATAGGGTGGCAGGTGGCCAACAATGGGAGGGGAGGGTGTGGTGTGTTCTCTTACTGGTCTCCCCTCTGCCTTCTTGTTTCCCTTGTGCCCTTCTGTCTCCTCTGGCTGTTTTTCCTGCCCCCTCCTCCCTCGCCACCTCTACCTCCCCAGTTTCCCTTCATTCTGCCTCTTACTCTTTGCTCTCTATCCTACCTCCCTTCCTCCCTTTTCCCTCCTTCTCCCGACACTGCTGCAGAGAAGACACACTGCATCTCTCCTCCATCAGCCTGCATCCTGTAATTTTATCTTCTTGAAGGCGAGACTGCAGAGTCAGCTCTTAGTCCCTACCCCTGGGGGTCCTACAGTAGAGGTTTTGCTCAGGGATATGGGTTGTCTCACCTGTATTTGTCCTCAGTGTTCCAGTCGAGGACTGTGGCTTGGAAGACCAGTGCGCAACCTTGTGCCCCGAGAACAGGGATCCTGGCCTCTTCCTGTTGAACGAGGATGGCGAGTGCCGTGCCATCCTGTACAGAATTCTCAGGGAGGAGCAGAACCAGGTGGTTTCCAGCCTGCAGGAGTGTGTGGCCCAGGTACAGGCTAGGGGGAGCATGTCCAGGTCCCAGAACAGGGCCAGTGGGACTGAGGTACCTGCTACCCTGGAACATTTGCAGTTACAATAATCACAAGTATTTCTCAATGTTCATCCCTCCAACAAAAGAAAATGCAAAGGGGGGAAAAAGAACCCCACTGAAACCAGTCTGCAAAACACTGCAGAGAATCTGGACATGGATAGGGTGGTGCTGCCCCCTGGTGGAAAACAAGCCAAATGGCAGCACAAAGTCCAGGGCCTCCCAGCCTTTGGTTTGACCTGCTCTGGACGAACAGCCACTTCAGGGAAAAAGGTCATGGATGAAAATATTTAAATTATAACGCAGATGAGGAAAGGCCCTTTCAGGAACAGGCCACTGCCCCACTCTGTCCCTTCTGACAAAGCTATCAAGGGGGTCTTACAAGGGGTTAAGCAGGATGGCGGGACCATTCCTAAGGGGGCTTAGTTGCATGTGTATGCAGGCCAGCAAGGAGAGGGGCCACTAATGCTGTAACAGGAAGGATGGAGGCAGTTCCAGGAAGAGAGACCCCGTCTCACCTGAGGCATCCACAGTTCCTTTGCAAATGCTTAATGGACAACCTAGTTAATCTAGTTCCCCGCAATACTTAAATTTTCCTTCCTCTCTTTGACTTACTTAAATGAACATGATTTGTGTGCGTGTGTGATCAGAGTTCAGAAGAGCTGTACCTCTCAGTCGACCACTTCAAGCAAATAATTAGGATCCTGAGGGACTTCATCCAGTCCCAGGAGCTCAAGGTGATGGCATCCATGATATCAAAGCTAAAGGTGGACCTGGAATCTGACAGCTCGTCCCTCGATCAGATTCACCTGGTATTTTTTGGATTTCACAATGCTGTAAGTACTATATCTGGCCCTAGAGAACATGCCAGAAGGCAGGAAGCCCACTGAAGCAGCTCATAACCAAGCCCATGGAGTTCAGTTACCATCTTCTCTCACAGTCCTCATCTTTTCTCATCTGTTTACACCTCAGTCCAGGTTTCAGCAATTCCTCCTAAACACTGAATATGCAAATACAGTGAACAGGCCAGTTGTACTTGGCTACAAAGAGCAGGAGTGTAGGGTTTGGGAACAGGTATTCTCTGCCAGCTGGCTAGGTTTGGGGTTTAAGCTTACATGCCTGCCCAAGCAAGTGTGAATTGTTCCAGGCCTGAGACCGTGTCTGGCTGAGCTTTGTGTCAAGGCCTCAACACAGAGCCTGAGGGTTCATAGTTGCTCAGTAAGTGCTCCATGCGTAAGCAATGAAGAGGCCCAGTGCAGTAGGTGCGATCACTGCACCCATCTCCTGGACCTCAGCACAACTTGGGGTCAGCTTGGAGAAAGACGCAGTCCAGAAGAGATACAAGTAGGGTAGAAATTGAGAGAAGCTTAGTTAACACTGTATCAGAGAGTAGAAGCAAATTAGAATTAGTAAGAAGTCCTACTTTTTAGAAGTATAACGGACCAGAAATGGATTTTTGTGATTTATAGGTCAACAAAATTGTGAAAAAGCACTTAGTTAACCCCCACTGGATGTTTGCGATGGACAGCATCATCCAGCAAGCTGTGCTGGCTGCACTCAGCATTCTTTTCCCAGGTAAGTGCCTGCTTCCCGGTCAGGGTCAGCTTCAAGCTATGGAAAAGACTAGAAATGTCCTCTGCACTCAACAGTTGTGTTCTCACTTTGGCTACATTTCCTTGCAGTAAAGTAACGCTGTCATAGGCCCTTTGGGGCTAAGATTCTGTGAGTCTAAGAATTTATCCTGGTGGTGTATTTCTATGCTCCCTGGGCCTAACCAACACTAAACTTGTGACCTAAAAGTGAGCATAGATCCTACAGTGAATCCTTAGGAGCACCTGCTGCTGGTTGATGATTTAATGGCTCGCTCCATCTCTCAGAATGGTGTGGTAGCTCTAGATATCTTTTGCTTTTGCTGACTCTATGTTAGAGCTGCTTAATACCAAAGTTGATTGTCTTTCTGTGGTGACTTCTTCCGAGAAAGGCAGGCTCGGAACACTTGTGTTGATACTGCCACTTCCTCTCTGGACTTCGCTCCCTGTCTTCTGCCTGCTCCCATGAATGCAAGGGAGCCAGCCCAGCTTCCACGAGAGGCTCCTTAGTCCCCAGGACCCCATTACTCCCTGCTCCAAACAGGCTATTTTCTATAGTAAAAGTACACAGACCAGGTCAGAAGCCCAGTTGTACCTTTTAAAAACTGTCCTCGGCTAACTGACTTACCATCTTTAACATTCACTTTCCTCATCTGTAAACAGGATGATCACCTTTGCACTGCAGAGAACTGAGTGAAATGGTTCCTCTCCAATTATAAAATCCCAGTCCCAATGGACAGTGGGGTCAGTTTCTGAACAGCCTTGTTTGCTGGCATGGGACATGAGCTATACAAGGCCATGGACTTGTTAAACCATGGTTGTTGCTTCTTTCATGATTTCAGAGCTCAAAGCAGACCGTGAGGCCACCTCCAAGACAGAAGGGGTGAATAAGGACCTGGATGAGGTGAACCAGGACTGTCCCCCAGCAGACCCACCCAGAAGCGAAGCACATGTGACACAAGGAGGGGCCAGACCCGCTTCAGCACCTGTGCAAGATGCCCAGCCCCAGGAGCTCTACCAGCAGGACCTGAGCTTCCAGCTGGAACAGCTCAGGCAGGAAACCAACAGGTCAGCAGAGATGGGACAGTGACCTGGACCAGCAAGGCAATCAGTTCAGTTGTTGAGTGCCTCACCCAGGTGTCAGAAAAACATCTTCACCACCAAGGAACCGAGCAAGGGGGTATTCTCAGCTTCAACTGACAGATTAAATGCTGCCTTTTCTTTACTGTTGGAATCCAAATATAGTGCCTTGCCACAGGCCACACAGCATTTAGCCACATTAAAGGCAGCAGCATCTTGGAGGTCTGTCTTTTTGCCAAATAGAGCCCCTGGCATGGCCTATGGGTGCAGCGGGCTCAGCAGTGGAGATCTGCAGCCCACCCCTGCAAAAGTCACTGAATTGAGGATTGGTTTAGCACTTTGCAGGTGCATGTGGCCCATAACTGTGACCCTAAGAAAGTTTGCCCTTTCATCTTTGAATCTTTCCTTTGTGATTTGTAATGATCTCTAGGCTGGCATTCATGGACTACCCTCCCAGCCAGGGGACCCTGACACTGTTATGAGATTCCCCCGAGAGCTGGTCTGTTTTATTAATTTCCTGACACACAGTAGGTACTCAAAAAATATTTGTTAAAGGGATAAAATGATTCTTTAGCTCTGGGGAAATCACATCATCAATGGTCTTATGAAAAGTATAAGCCCACAGTTACAGCAAACTAGTTGGTATTGGTCCCAAATTATGTCTTTTTGCCATATGATCATCCATAATGCTGATTAATATTTAACCGGGGGAAAGATAAGATGCCAGGTGTACACACTTTGGAAGACAAGCTGTATACACCCCTAGGGATCTCTGATGTTTAATCTCAAACAAATCTCTTTTTAGAAAGAACTTTCGTTTTAATTAACTGGTTGTGGTGGCAGCAAAATTTTTAGTTTTTGAACTATAAACAAATGTGAAAGTTGATAGTAATAGCACCTTTTAAAAATGTTTTTCTGGTAAAGTTTATAATCACCAATTCAAAAAAATGTTACATATAGGTTCAAAGGTTCTTCTCTGTTGTTGAATGAGTAATAGCAGCCAGCTCCAACTGCAAATGCTTCACAAACATGAGTCCCTACAAAGCACACCTGTCCTTTGTGGTACTAGCTGCTGTTGTGTAGAGCAGGAAGATGGCACCTACTGCCCAAAAGGGTGTTGCCTGAGGATACTGGTCTGTGTGAGCGTGTGAGAGACAAGTTCCTGTGCAGCGTTCACAGTCCTGGGTTGTTTTGGGCTGCAGTAGGCTCCTCCCACTTCCACAGCAGCCTTTCTCACCATCCCATCCCTCAGCTGTTCCAGCAAGGCTTCTACCTCCTTGGCTTCATCCCCTGGGAGGAGGAAAGAGCCTGGCCGCTAGTTTCAGTGACTTGATCTGACTTAGGGAGACAAGTTGAAGTTATCAAATCATTCTGGCTGAGTTCTGCTGGGTTATCTTTTGGTTCATGACTCATCTTGAGACAAAACATTCCCACCCTCAGAGGTGGTCTGTTTTCAAGGGGAGGAAACCCAAGGAATTTGCCCTCATGCACACTGAAACCTGATCACAGAACTATGAAGATACCAGAGGTGTCTTCAACAGGTGTTTGAGTTGAGTTGACTGGTGTTAAGACACTGTGGATGATGGCTTTTATTTTTAAACCAGAATTTTGGAAAACCTACTTCGAACAGAGAGAGCACGCCAGAATCTTCTACGGCAAAGCCTAGAACAGAAAACTCGGGAATTGTCTCACCTTCAGTCACAATTAAAATATAATGGTAAGTGACTTTCCACTTACTCTGACTTACATGTGTGAGAGAGACCATTTAAAAGCTAATATTCTAGTCAACCTTGGCACAATTGAGATTATTCTCTGTTAAACCAGTAAGCACTCCAGTAGATTCTGGAATACTAATCAGTACTAAGAAGGAACTACTGGTACATTCAAACCACGATGAATAGCAAATGTGTAATGCTAAGTGAAAGCCAGATTCAAAAGGCTACACACTATGACTCCATAAATATGGAATATTTATACAATATTGTGCTAAAGGCAAAGCTATAGGGACAGAAAACAAATTAGAATGGGTGGGGAATCATAAAGACCACAAGAACTTTCTGGGGTGATAGAAATTTCTGTATCTTGATTGTAGCGTTCACATGACTGCTTGTCAAAGTTCATTGTGCTGCATATATAAAAAAGGGTGGTTTACCACATTGCTGCATGTTACATCTCAGTGAACCTGCCTCATTCATTTTGTGCTCCTTACAAAAGGGTTGCCACTGGCTACCTCTTAGAATGTGAATGGATGAGGTCTGAAACAAAATCTCCCTAAAACCTATTTCCTCTTTTGAATTTCCAGTGCTGTTAAGGATTGACTACTGAGGGAAAAACATTTTAAAGCTGAGAATAAGCATTTAAAGTGATAGGCAGATAACCAAGTTCCAAACTAACTAAAGGTCATAGGTAAGGATTATTTGAACCTGTGGAGAGTGAATTCAAGAACTATGGACTGCTGTGCACTGTGCATTAGAGCAGTTGAGACAGGTTGAATTCACTTCCTTTTCACATAACATTTACACTCAGGAATAGTTTATTTTATCCACCTTGTGACTTCTGAAGTTTAACTGTTATACATCAATATACAATAAAACAAACTTCTAATTATTACAGCGCCTCCAGCACCCCCTCCTGGGTTTCATAGACAGAGACCAGATCAAGAGCTTGTAGACTGGTTGCAACTGCAAGGAGCAGATGCGAATACCATCGACAAGGTAAATTTATAGCCAAGAAAACCATTCCTATGCTATTATTACAAAAGCTCCTTAACTCCTATGTATTTGATCTTTATTTCAGATTGTTAAGGAGGGTTATACACTTTCTGATATTCGTAATGAGCTCACTAAGGAAGACCTTAGTTCCCTCGGAATACGGTAAGAACAGCCTCAGAACACTTTGTACAACAGAAAAAACATGCTTTTCATGTGATGATGCTTTTAAACAAAGTAGTAGAAAACAAAATGCTACTGCCTTTCACTCTTCATTGAAATTAACTCCCTTTCCTATGGCTTAATCAGAAAATGCCATTCTGTGGTTTTCCCAGGTTCAAATTGGGAGTAAAGCCAAAAGGTGGCACACGCTATAAAGGCCCCATAGGAAAAGTCAGAAGTAGGAAGGCAAAAGAGAAGCATCTCTTCCCCCTTCCATGTTACAGCCAAACCCCTCTTTAAATTGCAACCTGCATTCTAATTCCTGTCATCTTAAATGTGCTGCTCTACAAACATCCGCCAGCACACCTGGAACCTTGGTTCTCGAACTTAATTCATTCTGGAAGGCTGTTTGAGGAGCGATTTGTTCAAAAACCAAATCTCCCTTGTCACCTGAGAGACACATAACTGATCCCACAAGTATCAGCACGAAAGGGTTATCAGATCAAGAACCAAAGTTTTGTTTGACAGCTGAGCTTTGACTATACCTCTAAGGCCATGTCCCATTCCTGCTGGGACACAAAGTGTCACCTCCATACGTGAGAAGAACATATTCTTATTTTAGCTAAGTTTTTAAGACCAAATGGTGAATCTAGACAAGCCTACAATTATATGCTATAGTTTTTGCCATAGGGGTTCCTAAAGAAGTTTTCTTTTTGACTCTAAAGAAGACTGTTGTTTGTTTCGTAGTGGTGAGCTCCTCTGCAAGCTCTGGACTGCAATCTCCCAGTACAGAAGACAGACTCAGGGAGCCGCAGCTATGCAGGATGAGGCTTAGCCAGCCAGCTAAGCCAGGGAGCAAGGCGACAACATCTTTGTTGTTAAAGCTTCTCAGGCAGACACACACACCATGAACAGTTCAAAAATTTGAAGTTATAAAGAGTTAATGAAATGTTTTTTTGTACCTGTTATTTATCGGTGTGTTTTTTGTGCCTTTTATCAACATGTTTTATGCCTCTGTTTATCAACATGTTTTAAAGGTGAGTAGAATAGTATGTATTTTGAGAACAGTGATTGTGAGCCCCAGTTTTTACATCTGGAATATTATGGAATTCTTAAAAATGAGTTTTAACTTACCCAATGGAAAAAAATAAGCACACCCTCTAGCACTTGCCGCAAAGGTAAAACAATGGGTGTTTAACAAAAAGGCTAGGAATCACTGTTTTAGGTTATACATTAATAGTAACTGAGTAATTGCATTTGAAGCTATTTCCCCGTTACAACGTTGTTTATATTGAATGTATAAATGCATATAAATGCAGGTAATACAGTTATTTGGATTTTAAAATGACTGTGAAATAGTCTCTTTAAAAGTAGAATTGTCCTTGTACCCACAGCCTGGTTATATAGTAAATGCTGTTTTATTAAAGAGCAATGGTAGTGAGCGTGAGCAGGCTTCCACACTGACAAGCACACTCATGGAGGCATGTGCGCACACATTAATGTACACTGTGTTAGCTGTGGGGTCAGGCCAGAGACTAGTGAATGAGCACCCCCTCCTCCCCACCCAATAAGGTGGCAGAGTTGGACAGGCATACAAGGAATTGTTTTTCCTTTCAGTAACTAAAAAGTACTTACTTACTAAAATAGTGAACTAAGTCAAATAGAACTATTTTAAGGAAATAATTTGAAGGAAATAATTTGAAGGTAATTTGAAGGAAGGCTGAGCAAAGTATTACCTATTTAGACCTATACAAAGCTAACATAACCTTTAATGCAAAACTGTATAAACTGCATGCAATTACTATCTTAATCTACATATGTTCTGTGGGTTTTCCCTCCTTAATGAAGTTGAGAAAAGTTCCTTACAGTTGCTGTCAAATAGCCCACTGAAGGTATAACCATCACATGCAGTCTCCTGTTAACTGACAGACTTAAACTTGATCCACTGGTTTGCACCCCGAACTTCAAAAGGTGGATCGTTGGAGTAGATGTGATAGCCCAGTTCTTCCAAAGGTGGTTCAGGATCCGCTGTTGCAAACTGGGCAGCATCCTCAATTTCTTTCCTCACTTCAACATCAATTTCCTAAAAAAAATCAGATAACAGCTTAGGTACCAACTAGTTCTACTCAGATCGTGTCAGTAGTAGAACTATAATTCTTTTAGTACTGTAAGTACTAATAAAATAGCTGCTATTTTCAATGATGTTATTTTTTTTTAACTAAGTGACACAATGCTCTATACCCAGGAATATTTTGGAGTCCAGACATCAACATATAAATATACATGCATATCCTGGCAAGGGAACACTTACGAATCAAGAAAAAAAAAATCCAAAGTCTACTTCTAAGAAAAAAGTGCACTCTTGGGGGGTTTAAGGGCTTTGCCAATATGACTGACTAATGTCCTGTGATAATAGATACTTTCCCACATGCAGTTCACCCAGGAGTGGCAGCTTTTTGTGCGGAGAAAAGTAGATTGCTCAGAAAGGAGAGCCCACTTTTAAACCACCAAGCGTGACAGTACCTTTAATTCTTCAACACTGGCAAGGTTGCTGTTCACCATTCTATCCTTGAGAAGCATGATAGGGTCACTCTTGCTTCTTACTTCCTGAATTTCTTCTCGTGTACGATAACTACCCAGAAGCAAACATAGTTAGAAGTAGGTAAGAACAGCTCCAGTATAGCAAAAAGTTCTGTGACATATGGAAGTATGTTGCCGATGAAGTTCATCAATACCTATGTCACCAATGGAATGGTAGAAATACACTTTCAAAGTACAAGAATTCTGCCTAACATTCTGTAAGAGCTGCTTATATCTTTTATAGAAAACTATACTGGCAATTAAGTCACCTGGCTTCTCTAGCATTCTGACCACAGGGACCAAGTCTATTTTTGCAGCTCTCATCTAGAGGTACGGTCTGAAAGAAGTGGAGCCTTTCTGTGCTAACTGTCCCACCCTTTTGAGCTCCTACATTTTACATGGATGGGGACAGGGGACATGAGTCTTATGTGGTGATAACCACAGACTTTGAGGCAGAATGTCAGGCAGGAAGTAAATGTGCCTTTCCTTTCTCCCTTAAGACTTCAGAGCAGTTTGGCCAGCAAAAACCTGGACAGCGGGTTTTCCAATTCTTGAATCTGTAATATAGCCTTATCCCAAACATCACTTGAAATAACACTAAAAACAAGGACTCTTATTTTTTGGAAAAAGAATTACAGAACATTTTTATCTGTAAGTTGCTCTTTTATAACATTTTCCCTTAGAATGCCATTCTACACTCAAACACTTGTTATGGCTTACTATGACGAAATCTGCTACTTCTGTGTCACACTCTGGACTGCAGTATTACATGGCAGAGTTACTAAGTGACAAGTAAAACTCCTATCTTCTAGTGTAACCCCTTCTTGTGACTGATCTATTTCAATATATCAAATGCCCCACATGCCAGTTGGCCTTGTGTCACACCAGCCAGGACATTTTCAAATTCTTTTCAGGAAAAATATGCCACAAAGGAATTCAGGGTAATGCTACCCTAATATACTACTGTACCAGCAGACCTGCTTTATGGGACAATTTCTTTCTGCAATTTTTATTGCTGCTCATGCTAATATGTAGATACTATATACAGTAGGGATTTTCACAGTGCTTTCTACATTGGAACCAATTTATTGGAAAGCACTGCTTATCTTCCAGGACTCAAATAATTACTTGAAGCCAACTGGTGTCTTGCTTCAAAAGTAAATGTTGACATGCTTTGCTTTTTCATGTTAATAGCACCATTCAAAGCCCACCCCACTTTAGACCACCACACTCCTTTCCCGTGACCCAACCTGACTCCAGGATCACTCATGCTGTGTCCATGGTAACGGTAGGTCTGCAGCTCCATCAGTATGGGCCCCTAAAACAGAACCCAAGGCAGATTAGGTAAGACCACAGGCACAGCAGCACATCAACAATCGGTGGCTTCAAATGGCCTCAGGTGCACACACTTTCATGGTCAAACATTCTCATCAGATCTATAAATCGGGTGAGTTGTCAGGAATTTCTTAGTGACTGATTCTTAAGTTATCTGTTCTCCTTTTTAATACTGACTGCATGTTTCATCCTTCTCATTTTAAACAGGAACCTGTCCCAGTTTGTTTGGAATCAAAAAGGCATTTAGCATGTTACAGAGCCGACTGATGTTAAATAAAGAGTTGTTTGTTTCATCAGCACTGCATTTGTCATGTAATCCTTTAAAAACAGCTTAGGTTTAAGGAAGAAAAACCTACTAGAAAGTAGGTATGGCAGCAGAAAAGTGGTGCTTTTATCTTGAGGGTCACTAGGCTAGTCTTTCTCCCCCAGCCACAGGTGACATCTACAAGCATTTTGATCCTTTTTAAACACTAGAAAAAAAATACTGATATAAACTCTAACAAAATAAGATTAAAAGCAAACCTCCATGTGTGCTGGAAAGTAAAAACGGTAGGAGAACTAAAGATAGGCTGGGGAGGTGCATTTCCACCTCACACCCATTTCAGGCACTGTTTCACGGGCTGGCAACCCATCCTGCTGCACACAGATCTGGCTAGTGTGTAAGAGAAGGCTGGACAGCACCACGATACTTGACCCCATGACTCTGCTGGGAGTCTGGCCGGCCCAAATACCACCAGGTAGGTTGCTTATGCTGCACTAGAAGCTCCCTACAAGAAGATGACTTTGAACACAGAGTGGAGAGAGGTGGATCTAGGATCCCTCGGCAGTTTGGTATGGTAGTTAAAAAGGGAGACACTGAGTCCAAGTGCTTGGGATCCAATCCTGGCTGTAATATATAGTAGCTGTGTACCCGTAAGTGTTCTGTTCTGTGCCTGTTTCCTCATCTACAAAACAGGTAAAATAGGAATAATCTCACAGTTGTGCCAGCCAATTAAGTAAGGTAATACATAAAAAAGTGGTTAGTGTGTTACCCGGCATGTGTCAATCCCTCAGTAACTGTCACCTCTTCTTTCTCTTGTCATCCAGCAGCCACTTGGAAGCACAGTGGGTTGGGCTAAGGAGGTCATGATAGGGGAATTTCCAGACCCTCCCTAATTCCAAGACCAGGCATTGGTCAGGTTGGGAAAGTCAATACATGCTGCAAACCACTGATCCCGTTTCCATGTGGGGATGGGCCCCACATCTTTCAGGAACTGGGAGAGAGGCAGACGGTACCCACCACCCAGGGCCCAGATCCCTAGTCCTGCAGTCCTGATGCAGACTGCTGAGCCCACTGGCACCAACCTGCCATCTTCGTCACACTCTACTCGATTTTCGTTTTCTAAGTGCTCTGTGTTTTCCTGGCTCCCTCACCCGCTTTCCTTCCGCTTTCATCACTGCTGGCCACATCTTATTTATGTTACTGCCCAAACACATGCACACACCAGGAGCCTGTGTAACTGAGAGGTACATCTTGGGGCATGCTTTCTGGGCTGCAGAAACTGATTTAGGGAGAACATATTTCCACTAACTCTGATGGCACATCCTTTTGTCAGGCCAAGCTCACTGTTCCCCTCTCCACTCCATAACTCAAAAGTCAAGATTCTTAAGGATTCAAACAGCATGACTAAGATTACATACTCCAATATTAAATAAGCAAAGTTCTCTGCTTAGCACTGCAGGGCTTCCAGTCTATTCACCCAAGGAGCTTATAATTAATGGGGGGGGGGGGCTGGAGGCACATAATTGACCAAACCAAAAGGCAAACTAGATAAAGTGCCATGATGAAGACAGAGGCAAAATACTGAGGAAGCACTGGAAGAAAAACTTTACCCCACATCGAGGCAACATGGAATATTTCCCAGGAGGTAAGCTACCACGACGACACTATCTATGACGGGACCTGATTCACCTGACTGGATGCTGTTTCTATCTTACACACCTCAGTCGGCAGCTACCCCTGCATACCTAAGATAGACACGGGGGAGGCCTTCTTTTAACTTTATGATCATCATCGGAAACCTTTAGTCCAGAGGTCTACGAAAAAGTCTTACCTTTCCAGATCTACAGTAGGCGGCTGCAAACTTTGTTGCCTCCCGGACACATAGGACATCCATCCCATCTACCTGTTAATACATGGGAAAGGGGCAGAGCATAAATCAAACTGCCTAAAACCATTTTAATTCAACATGAGCTGTTCCTGCACTAAGACAATAGAACTCTTCAATGTTTCTGAAATTGTCTAGTGCACACACACAGGCATCAAGCAACAAAGCTGCAGTCCCGGCTCTACGACAAGTATCCTTACCCTCAGCCCAGGAATGAAGTCACCTCTCTTGTAGTAATCAGTGCTGGCTGCTGCTCTCTCAACAGATGTCCCCATTCCATAGCGGTTATTTTCACAGATGAAAATACAAGGTAATTTCCACAAAGCTGCCATATTGTAAGCTTCAAATATCTGACCCTGGAAGTGTATAAAAATTCAAGTGGTTTCATTTTGCTATTTTTCCTCTAGATTTCAATCCTGACAGCTGCTGCTGTACCTAGCAGAGAAAGCTTTCATAAAGGATAAAAAGCCTCCTCTTCTACAACCAAGTTTTTGAGGAAAAGAGTGTGTGTGTTGGGGTTAGGGGAGGGTAGAGAAGCAGCAAACATCATCTCTTGCAACTAAGGGAAGTGAAAAACCAAATACCGCCACCACTTGCTTCTGTGGGGCCAAGACAGACTATATTGAGGAAAAAATGAACAGGTAAAAATGTGTGGCTATCTTGTTTTATGTTTTTTTAAAAGTTTGAGAGTCCCACTGGATAACCAGAGTGAACCAGTGTCTAAAAATCGGCGTGCAGAGCAGGGCCTAAGAGTGTCATCCACAAACTGGTGACAGCTTGGGACCATGACAGGAGAAGCAGAGAAAGGACTGTGACAGTTCCAAGGCCTCCAAGAGACTTGAATCTGACCATTACAGTACTGGCTTAAGAACTGGTTTGCTATAGGTTGAAATCTAAAAACGTCCTTCACCACAGAGTTTGTGAAGCACTGACGTAGAGCAGAGGAGAGCTCGCTCACCAGAGTGCTTCCCTATAAAGCACGTGGGAAACACCCAAGAGGCAAAATTCTAATCTGGCCATAAAACCAAAATTTAGCTTGCCATGTGAATGGCTACTTCAACTAGTAAGTAATATATTCTTTAGAAACTGACTTATGAATATTCAACACTTTGGAAATAAAACTCTAATCATTATTAAAACTTAACGGACACATACTCACCTGATTAGCAGCGCCATCGCCATAGAGGGTCAAACAGACCTCATCTTTTCCATTATACTTACAGGCCAGAGCAATCCCAGCTCCCAGGGGCACCTAGCATTAAGGGCAAGCATGAAAGGAAGCACAGAAACCCATGAAGGGAGTAATTAATGCTCAGAATTTTAATTCCTGGCCAGAAACTGACATAGAAATTACACTGTTGCTACAAACTCTCCCTACCCCAACTCAAGTTCTGTTTACCCACCTCAAATATTATAAACACACTAGAAGAGAGTAATTATTATACTTTCAACCATTAGGCAGTAACATTTCTGTGCTCAAAGATTCGACTACCAATGCTAAAGAGCTAAAAAATGAAACCTTGGCCAAAAAAAATCATAGAAATATCAATATATTAGAAAGTAAAAGTAACAGCATATGATTTTATGCTGTTACTTCATTATTCACTAGCTGATGAGAACACAGAGGACCAAATAACCACCAAAGTTGGCTTTAGATTCTAACTAGGCCCTGAGATCTCATCACCTGTCTCTCTTGGTCTGGCACCAGCATCAGCACTGTCTACAGCAGAAAGAGGTAGGGCAAAGTGGATGTGACAAAGCAATAATGTACCTAAATATAAATAAAAAAGGGAAGGTATAGCTCCACCTCTAGAAACTTTTGCATTACTTATAAAAGACAACATATACCTAAGAAAAATTCAAGTCACTGTCCAAATTTATTTATTAAATGACCAAATGGCAGGGTAGGAAGCAATAGGTCTGCAAAGCACTCTAAGCTGCAAGAGCACTAAAATACATCAGAGGGAAGTTCTCTGGGGCATGAACTATTGTAAAGACACAGGCTAGGATTAAATCTAGAAAAGCATGCAATCTTCATCCCCTACTACCTGAGCTCCAACGATGCCATTGCCCCCGTAGAAATTCTTGGCATACATATGCATTGATCCTCCTTTTCCTTTAGCACAACCTCCTCTTCGTCCTAGAAATGGCAGCGCACACACACATATGCATCAAAGACCAAATATACAAAACAAAACCACACCCAAGCACTTACTTAGAGGCTGATCCTAGAACTCAGAGGCCAATTCTGTTGCATAAGCACCTGCCCCTCTATGCAAACACATATTCCTCCTTTTCCCCAGGTCCTTTTATAATAAAGGACAGACCATTCCCATGTCCTTCACTTTTTGGTCCTTTCCAGCTCTCTAATCACTAAATTTCCTTCAGATGTTAGCATAACAGTTCAACAGTCAAGGGGAACAAAGACAGAGGGAATACTACAAACATTCCTAGAATTTAAATTGCATACCACTAAATGCTCCCACTCAATGACTGCTTTATTTTTGCTGGCATGATCTAGTGATAATAAACACAATTCTCATTTTATAGACCTAACTTTTTTAAACTTTTACCTGAAAGGTCGGATGACCTCAAAAATGTTTAGGTCACTCAGAAGCACAACACAAGTACCAGAGCATCAAAAGGAAGAGGGGTATTTGTAATTTTTTAACACAAAAAGGCTTTGATATTAACTCGCAAGAGTTAGCACCTCAAACAAAAGATTTGAAAATTTAATTCACTAATTTTCCCCTTTTGTAAATTAATAGCAAACCTGTAAGCTCTGCAAGAATTTCTCGTACAGAAAGCCCACGAGTATAGGTAAAGCCATGAGCCCGATAGGCTGTGATCAGATGGTCTGTGGGATTTATGCCAGCTTCCAGGCCCACACAACAAGCTTCCTGCATTAAAGGAAGAAGCAGCAATGAGTCAATACAGGACACATTCCCAGATAAAAGGTTTCCTAGGCTAATATGAAACATTTGGCCTAGCTGAACTCTTCATTAATAACCATAGAAGGTAGCTCTACCTTTCATCAGAAACAGAGTGGAGAGTAAGGTCCAAACCAGAAGTCATAAACTAGCAATACACAGATGTATTGTTTTCTTTGGTCTGTAAGGTGGTTTAAAAAAAAATATCCTGAATCAGGTACCAGTATTAAAACAGAGGGAATTTCACATGACAACTGAGACTTCTGTCTTGTTTTTAAGAAATGAACAATAGGAGGCATGAGCCCCGTATTTCCATATGGCATCAGCTGGCTAGAACCAAGTCATGATGTCCCCTGCAAGGGGGACCTCCCCATTCCAGTTCACCACCACTCCTTGTCACCACTTCTATTTTGTATAGCTGGCCTTCTTCACTCATTTATTCTACCTCGGCTGGTCCCTACAGGCATCTAAATTGGTAACCCTTGGTCTAACCCCGCCCAACAAAAGAAACAAAAAACTCTTAATTCCCAAAGTATAGCCAATACAAGTGATCACAATACCATAAAGGCAAAGGAAATCAGACATGTGATGCATGAATAAATTCTTTAGCATAAGCTTCATAACAGATCTCAGCATTTTCATTTTGATTCTAAAATACCAGCCCGGAATCCTTGAGGTGCATAAACCAGGGTAATAGCTACTAAGTACAAGCCACACTTCAATTCCTAAAAACCACGATTTTATTACAAAACTATCACTCACCTGACCATCACACAAGTGACAGAAGCCACGAATAATTTTCTGTTTATACAGCTGATCTGCCTTTAACTCCATTCGGCGAACAGTCTGCATCATCTTGTAGTATTTGAGCCCATCCTCCCTGGTGAGCACCGTTGTGACAGGGGGGCCCTCCTCTAGGCGGTGAAGATCACACTTCTGAAACAGAATGAGTTGTCTTCCAGTCACTACGCTGTAAACACTGGCAACCCATTCTAAGATCTAACTCCATCACGAATACTACTTAACTCGAAACCCACAGGGGTACATCGGAAATGCTACATATTGCTTCTGACTCCTTGACTTCTTACATAAAGCTCACTACGCAATGGGAAGGGGCTTCTAAGGGGTTTAACTTTTTCAGCTTGCCCCTTCACCCCATACACCAGCAAGTTGTTTAGTCGGAAGTATAAATTCTAATTTTTGCTAAACATCTCCAAACCTTTGATTCTAGAACATTTGAAAGAAAATGGTGTAAAAAGCATGAATATCAAAATGTTCTAATCCCAAAGGTAAAACTACCGTATTTTGCCGTGTATAATGCCCTTTTTTACCCAAAATTTTAAGGGAAAAATAAGGATGCGCATTATATATGGGTAGTACTAATTCTGTATCTAAGAAAATGTTTTTAATTCTTTTATTTATGCTTATGCATTAAAAGTATAACTCTAGAAAGCCATAACAATATCTGTATGCAAAATTATAGCCTGGATTATGATAATCGGTTTTATTTCTAAATATAAATAAATAACTGAATTAAAACAAAAGATTTTTTCCTGAAAGTTTGGGCCAAAAATGTGGGTGCGGGTTACACATGACAAAATATGACATATATCAAAGTGGACCAGTGGAAAAGTCATTAACACAAAGTAAAACACCTCTTACCTTAATTTCAAATGTAGCATCATTTGCAAAATTACGGGATGCCACCAGCACTCTGCTTGCCTTAAAAGACCAAAATATAGAACTATATCAGTATTTTTATTGTCAGTTATTTTTAAAGTCATTATATTAATCAGCTATCAGGATGCAGTCCCAGAAATTGAATAAACTCCATTATATTCACTAGCTTATCTCCCTTCTATTCACTGCATTGAGAGCTTATCCTGCAAAGTGAATCCATTGACCAATGAAACATGATTGTACCCCAATCCAAAGGCAAACAAGCAGAAAGAGAATGGGGGTGAAAACCAAACCAATCCACTTAGCCACTTTGTTTCCAAAGAAATTACAATGAGGATATAATGAAGTTAATGGCGAAATTGAAGAGACTAGATAATCTGTGGACTGTGTTTATTTATGCTAATTTAGCCATAAACGGATAAACTGAGCAAGGTTAAGCTTTACTTTCAGAATCATTCTTCAAATAAAACTATGATCCAATTTCTATTTCAGGCAAACCAGTTTTCAATGAAATGGATCTATAGTATGAAATAAAGACATTAGAGAGAAATGTGTAAGGCAGAAGGAAAGGTACTTAGCACTCCATGGCTCAAAAAACAATGGATTTGAGGGATGTTTTATAGTTTGAACAGTCTATACCTTGGGTAGGTTCCTCCTGAAGCCCCACAAGGGAGAGATGTTCTCTACAACAGTGTTCCCTTCTTGATTTCTAGTGCCTGTCACAGCTTAGGGGTAAAAAGCTGGGAGAAATGTTTCCTTTTCATTCTTACAATTGAACATACCTGCTTGCAGCAAAAGTATTTTACATAATGGCTAAAGTCCAGATTAGATTACAAACATTGAAGTAATTAGTGTTATTGTACTATCTTAGCCATATTCTGCCAAATTTTCACACACTGAATATATAGACCAACATGAGTTTTTCCCTTGGAAACTTGAAGCACATTCTTCAGACCCCCAGAAAAAGTCCTTTTGATATGTTCATACTAGTTATCCAACTTCTAGCACTGGACTTGATCTTAGTGAGAAGAGTTAAGATTGATCTGATAAGTGTACCTCCAGGCATGCAAGCCTGCAAGCAGAAAACTGTTATCATCTTATCTCTTCTCCCAAGAGGGTACCATTGTCTAATAAAGTTAACCAGTAAAGACAATGACAGTGTTGGAGGAAAAAAAAAAAAGCTGAAATCCTAGAAATAAATGCTTTACTTAATTAAGTTAGAGGTAAAGTCCATTAATATACCTAAGAATAAGTGAAGAATATTGAGAAATTTGGGAAGAAATGGAGCTGAGAGGGGTGAAGTGACAAAAGGTTGTGTTTGGCAATTACAAAACAGATGTGCTAACAGCATTTTTTGAAGTTAAAAAATTATTTTGGACTTCCAGTAAAGGTAGGGGAGCAGGTAAATGTTGTGCTCACCTCCATCCATGATCACATCAAAATTACAACTAAATTCCAAAACAACTATCACTTAAGAGCCACCTGAAGATTAGGTGATCAGAAGTCCTACAACTACAGAATTAAAGAAGCCTGGTGGAGACTGGTAGGAGGGGGCAGAGCCACGCTAGAGGCAGGTCCCACACCGCTGTGTGGCACATAAAAACCGGAACATATCTCAGCTGCAGAGATCTCCCTCTGGAGCAAGGGGTCCCAGCCCAACAACAGGCTCATCAGCCCAGGGCTCCAGAGCTGGGAAGAGAAGTCCCCATAACATCTGGCTGTGAATTGGCAGGGACTGCGGAGAGCTACTGGAGACCTAGACACTGCAGGTCTTAAGGAGCCCATGCACAGACTCACTTGTTCACAAGCTCACTTGCTCTGGGCTCCAATGCAAAGGCAGTAGCTCAAAAAGCACCGGGGACATTGAGGGGACTAAACTGACTAGCTTCAGGGTGAGGACTGGAGGGACAGGGCAGGGACAGCTCTCCAGGGACAGAAGTACTGACAGGTATCACTGTTCCTTTGCTGAGCCTTCTCCCCACACAGCCAGCCCAGCAGAGGGGGCGTCAAATCTGAGCTCGCTGTGAATCTGACTAACACAGTTCATTGAGCCCCGGTGATTCCCTGAGACCTCTCCCCACCCAACTTGCACACTTGGCCAGAACCTCTTCCAGTGGCTCCTCCACACAAGCAGCCTGCCTCAGCTCTCACTTCAGACTTTCCTACGTCTGAACCCCAAACAAGCAGTAGCTGGCCTCAGCGTGCCCTGTACCTCTTGCTAAGATACCCCAAGCCCAACATAAGTGAAGACCCAGTCTCAACTTGCATTGTGCCTCCCACCAGGTAGCCCTAAACCTTAAATAAGCAGCAGCCAGTCCTGGCTTGGAACATAGCCTCAACTAAGCAGCGACAAACCCAGCCCAACTGGCACCTAGCTTCAGCACATATCGTGGTACTTAACAAAGGGTCCTAAACCCGACACTAGTGGCAGGCAGTCCTGGTTCACAGAGGAGCCTCTCCCAAGGGCCTCCAAGCCCAGCACAAGATGCAACCAACTGCAGATTACTCTGTAGCTCCTTTTCTGGGGGAAAAGCAGTGGCAGAACTTGAGCAACACCAGAACTACTCCTCAGAGGCTCCAGAACCAACACACCTGGTGGCTGGATTCAAACCCACCACAGTACCACCCAACCAGCTCTGCAAACAACACACCCAAAGGGTGGACTCAGCTGGCACCAGAGCCCCGCTAAAATGACTCCTGCTGAGTGGAGTCAGGCCCCACACAACAGCTCGTCCAATGTAGTCATGTCCACTCACAGCCAGTCAGGCTGAGGGTCAATCCTACCAACTGACATGCCAACAGCAATCGAGGCTCAACTACAATAGGAGGGACATCCCTAGAAGCACCCAGCTCAGGTAACCAAGGAGGCCTGTGACCCCATAAGACAGCTATTACATAAGGCCATCCTACCAAGCCCAGGAGACATGGACCCACCTAATACATAGAAACAAAAACAGGGAGGCCGCCAAAATGAAGGGACAAAGAAACAGGGCCCAAATGGAAGAACAGGTTAAAACTCCAGAAAAAGAGCTAAACAAAATGCAGATAAGCAATCTATCAGATGCATAGTTCAAAACACTGGTTAGAATTATTCTAAATAAAATTAGGGGAAGACTAGATGAACTCAGAACTTACAGAAAGAGAAAGTGTAAGAATGGAGATAGAAAATATAAAAAAAAGTCAAAAATGAAGAATAAATCAAAGGGACTCAACAGCAAGTCAGATGAAGCAGAGGACTGAATCAGCAATCTGGAAGAAAAGGTAGCAGAAAATACCCTATCGGAACAGCAAATAGGAAAAAAAACAAAACAAAAAACAAATAAGGATGGTTTACAGGGCCTGTGGAACACCACCAAGCATACCAACATTCACATGACAGGGATACCAGAAGAAAACAGAGAATAACAAGGGATTGAGAACCTATTCGAAGAACTAACGACTGAAAAATTCCCTAACCTGGTACAGGAAACTGACATAAAATTCCAGGAAGTGCAGGGAGTCCCAAACAAGATGAACCCAAAGAGTTCATATCAGACAAAATAGGCGAAAGGAGCTAAGTTAAAAGAAGCTAAAAGTCATAACAGAGGTGTGAGTGTATAATTCTTTTTAACTGCTGAAATTGTTGAAATGATTACCATTTGTTTTCTCTAGAGAGCCATAAAAAGCTTCTTTGTTAAGAGGGTTTCCTCTTTGAGAGATTATGGCAAAACCCATTCACAGTTGCAAAACTAAAAACTTTAAGTTCCTAAATGCATGGCAACCACTCAGGTGAAAGAGAAAGTGTTTTTAAAACTCCAGATTCTACCAGTATAAGTGAAAAATTTTACCTACTCCTTGAATACTGGTAGTAAAGATCTCACCAAAGGAGTCATAATGGAGATGCAAACAATAAGACAAAGAATCAAAATTCTTTGCAACTTAATCTTTTGTGAAATATAAACTTTGAAAACTCTCAACTTCATTCAAATATGAAATCACAGGTGCTTAAGTACCTGAAGTGACTTAAACTACACTGGGCTTCTCTGCTTTCATTTTAGAGACTCTCAACTTTCTGTAGGAGGCACGAAGATCCAGTTTCTGAAGATTTTGGTGGGTTGGCTGAAGGGTGATAAGTAGAGAGAGGAAAGAGTGGGACAATGTCCACCGAGGGCTGACCCCAGAAACTCCCAATGCTCTCAAACCCTGAGAGGAGAACACCATAACAAATTACACCAAAATTTCCACTTGGGTTCTCTAAGATACACATACTTTAATTCATACAATGAGTTTGTTAAAAGATAAATTCCTTGAGCCTGTTTGTATCACTTATGCTTAGAGAGAAATTGGTTGTTCCTGTCTTGATAGGATTAACATTATTAACTTTATAGATACTTTTGCAAATCAAAGTTCCAAATTGGTAGTTTCTGTCTTGATAAGACTAACATCTGATATGGTGACTTAATGTTAAAGACACTTTTGTAAATCAAAATTTCAAACCCAGAATCACTGGAAAGCTGGCATGTTGTGGAACAAGAAACTTGTCCAGCCCATCGCAGACAGTTTTCAATCTGCTAGTAGCCTGTGTTAACACAACTGAAATCTGATGATGAATGAGCACACTAGACCCAAGAGCCCAAAGTACACTGAGCACTCTGGGAAAATTTCATCAATTACTACATTTTATAGAAACACTGATTAGCTGACTTGCTCTGCAGTGGGAAGGGGGAGCTATTAAACAGGGTTTCAGGCCATAGACACACATTATCTAGAGTTAATACATAATTGCCTAAAAATATTTTTCTCTGTGCCTTAGTATAATTAATGCCATATGCAAGCAACAGGAAAAATATGCAAAATATCCAAAAAACAGGGGTGGCTCAAAGTAAGGACCATTAATTCTTTCACTGTTTCTCATCTTCATACAAAAGAAAAAGAAAAAAAATGGTATACACGGGGAATCCATTTCCATTCCACTACAATAGTCTCCTCTCAATAAGAATTTTTGACTGAATGAAGTTACACTCCGCTCTTTTATGTAGTTAATAAATCATTGCAACTCAAAACTCATTTCCATTTAATATGGTCTGTATTATATGATTTCTGAAGAGGCCACAGCTTTACTAAGGGAAAGATGAAGTGCAATTTGCATTCCATGCCAATACATTGCTGGAAGATTGGAAAAACACAGCCAGGAGTATTTTGGACAGTTGAGGGAATTAGGCTCTGATTTCAAATAATGACTTCTCTGTTCATAGGAAGAGACATAGAGGTAAATGATTTGAAAACTCAACACACAAATTCTCCTTTTCCTGCAGATTACAAATTTTATCAAAGCTTTTCCTTTTTAATGTAATCCTTTAAATTTAACATGATACAGAACTAAGACCTCTCATCATGCTGAAAACACGTTTGTATTATTTGCATTCAACTAAAAACTTGTGGAAAGTAAATGAAATAAAACATGTGAATGCCTAGCCTCGTGCTTGGCACATATTAAGAGCTCAATAAATGTTGGCTACATCATGTGTATATGCAGAAAAACATAACGGTGAAATGCACTTCTCCTTTAGGAAGATCCAGTTACAATTTAAATACTTAACTTCAGTCAACGGGATTCCTAGAGGGGTACACTTCCCACCTTTCACCATCTCTGCCCCTACTAAGCAGAGTTGCCACAAAGTTCTGGGGGAGTTTCTAGAGCCAGAATTGTAAGTTAAACCTTGCCTGCAGTTACACCAAGAAATACTACCTTCCTGTGGTAGAAGCTTAGGCATTAGGCACATCTGAAAGCTGGAGCCAGAAATAGCGCTAACCTCTGACCGCACCCTCTCAAGCAGCACTGTGGATTTTTCTAGCTTGGGGGGGGCCGGGGCAGCGGGGACAGAGGGGGGAGGGGGACGGGGAAGGGGGACGGGGGGGGGGTAGAGAGAGAGCGAGAGCGAGAGAGAGAGAGAGAGTGTGTGTGTGAGTGTGTGTGTGTAAGCGGGAAAGGGTTTTCTGCCTTCTCTAGACTGCTCTGGAACTGACTGCCAAGAAAGTGAGGAAAGGGGAAGAAGTTTGTTTCTGGGGACCCTGACCTTGTCTGAACCCTCCACAGAACCAAGCACAGGTGTTCAACAAGTGTATGTACCAAACTGGGCACTCAAATAATAATACTTAATACAAATGGCCCCTACTATGTACCAGGTACTATTTGGAAAGGTTTACACAACTTTTCACTCGTTTAAGCCTCACAACCGCTCGGGGTATTTATCTCCATTTTAGAAATGAGGAAACTGAACACAGGGATGTTAAAACACAGAGAACGAGCGTGCTCAAGGTCACAGGATTAGTAAATGGTGAGGCTGGTGTTTGAAGGAACCACTCAGTCTCCGCATTCCATGCTCTTAACATATTACATGGCTTCTGGGTCAAAAGGAATGTAGTTAGGAAAACTTAAAATGAATGGGCCAGGGGGTTGGTCAACTGGACACTCGAGAAAGTCCAAGGGCCCCTTTTTCTGTTTGAAGTCAAGTCACGGGCACTTCTGGCGCACACCCAGTCCCGCGCCTGGAGCCACCGCTGACCTCCTCGCGGACCTCGTAGAGCCCCCATCCCCACCCCTGTTGGTTCAGATAGTCCCAACAACCGCTCCTCCTGAGGCCAGGAGCGGAGCGGAGCAAACCGCAAAGAAGCAAAACAAAGACTCGCAGTTCTGGAAGCACCCGTCGCGCCCAGCCGGAGGCACACTAGTGCCCCGAGGCCCGGCCCGCTCTCCGCGTCCTCCGGACTCGGGCTCCGCCTCGGCCCAGCTCGCTCCCTACACCGGGCCGCTAAGGCCACCTCACCGGCTTCTGGGCAGCGCCCGACAACACGCGGGAGACGGCGGCGAGCATCTTCCTCATGGACCGAGGGCACTGGCGGCGGCCGCGGCGACTCCCAACGACACAAGCCGCACGACCCAGGCGTCTTCGAGTCTCCTTCAGGCGCCCGGAGTGGACGCCACGCCTTAGCTGCAACGCGAAGTGTCGGAGACGGAGAGACGTCACACTACGCGCCGGACCGCGGGCCAACCAGGACGGTCTCCAGGGTGTGCCCCTCCCACTTGAGAAATCCGCGGTCGCCTATTGGGTGTCGTTGCCAGAGGGAGGTGGGGATGAAGGCGCTTCGGTCACCAACTGGCGAGCGGGTGCGGAGCCGTGGAACCGAGAGCGCCTGCGTGGGAAAGTGGGGCCCCGCCTCCTGCACCCCGCGGGAAAAGAGCCTTGAATTTAGCACTACGGATTAGTCGTGTACGATTGGAAATCGTGCAGGACAATCCTACCGTGTGTCCAGTTCTGTCGGTGCTGCCTTGGCTCAATACTCGGGATGATAAAGATTAATAGGGTGGTCGGGCCAAAAGACAGCATCTGGTGTCTATAAATGCTTCTGCTGCTAACATGTCCTTAAGAGATATGTAAAAATTTTAAAGTACTGCCCTGTCTACTTCAACCAGGACCCAAAAATCGGTTTCCCAGGGGAATGTTGAGAGGTCAATGGGAAAAGCCTTTTGGCTCTAGTTATTGATTCACATGCTCAACGTCAGTTGAACAGCATGATGCTGCTGATGTTAACAGCACAAAGAAACCAACACTAAAGCAACTCTAGGGTATCTTCAGAGGAGTTCCCACGTCAAAGTGCTAATTGTGTGCTAGTAGTGCACTTGGGGTACTGGGTTCAAGTTTAGGCTCCACGTTTTAAGGGGATGTGATGAGAAAACCGCTATTTTGAGTTGTTGTCTAGGAATTTTACTGTATCACAACCTTGCTCACACCTAGAGTCTGGACATTTAGATAAGAACATGAGTTTAGGATTCCCACCACAAGTTTCAGCTTTGGTTTCTCCAGGGGCACCTTTTAAAATAACCATTTAGAGTTGAGCCTGCGAAAAGTTAGCGACTTGTGCCCTAACCACCTTGTAAGTAGTAGGTGCGTACTACCCTGCTATCTCCTGCTCACACGTGACCTGGGATGGGGGAGTAACATTGGGCATTTTCTGAGATGTTAGTAATAAATCTTGTGACGTGACTTCCTTTGTGTGAGTGTATTCTGCCTTTAATCAAAATAACCCAGGGTTTTCATTTCCCTAAAGTGGAAGGAGCTCAGATGCTAAGCTACCTGCTGCCCTGGCGTGGGTGGCTTGTGTTTCCTCATTCAGCAGGTTTTAATCGGCATATTCTTAATCTAATACACCAGCCATGTCCCTCCCCCTCCAGCACAAGAGGATCATGATAAAAATGACTGACCAGAATGGTCAGGGACTGAAATCGTGACTTGGTGAAGAATGATTAAAGGAGTTAGAAAAAAACATACTAACTTAGAGTGGGTTAGGTTATAGTTTGACGATTGTCTTCCACAAGAACTTGAAGTGACTCAGCCACTTTGCTCAAACTACAGGTCCTCACAACTTGGCTGGAGCTCTGCTGCATGTCACCTTCACTCTGGAACCTAGACTAATGAGCAGCTTCAGTCTGGAACTTAGCTTGTTTCATGACAGAGAGAAAATAGATCATTTAAACTGCCTCTCAAAGCTTCTTCCCATAATGTTAAATGTCAATTATAGCTCAAGAAAGAAAAAAAAGATTGTTTCATTTCTTAAAGGAAAATAAACTTTGACAGTCTATATAATTTTTTTTAAAAAGGAGGGCTTCTGCTCTTGGGTGGAGCTGGAAACCAGAGACTCTTCCTTCTCCCTAGCTCACCTGCCTGGCGCGTTTATGACCAGCTTCTCTGAGTGAAGGCATCCTAAACAATGCCTTTCCTTTGTAAATCACCCTAAAAGTACTCAATCAAGCTAAATATTAGGACAAACCAAGCTGAATATTAGGGCCAACTATGGCCCTTACCTTGCCTTGGGCTTTCTTGGTGGGAGCCATGCCCCCAGTGGATGACTTCGGATAGAACATAGGTCATAAAAGCCAATGAATATTTGAGTGTTTTTGATATGCTAGGCTCCGTGCTGGTGGAAGGATTATGGCTAGGGGCTATTTTGACTTTGGAACCATATAAATGTTTTTACATAACCATAGAACAAAATGTAATAAAAAAAGGAGACGAAATGCAGCAAGTAAATTTAACCACATACCAAGTTGTTGACATAACCCTGCAGACAATGACCCAGGGTTATTGAATAACACTGCCAAAAAAAAAATCTCACATTGTTTTCAGTTATCAATTTTATTGTTATTTAAGACTGCGGATAAAGTGAATATGTAATTGTTAATGTCATTAGGAACCAACATTTTCAGCATAAAAGAAAAGAGACACAAACATAAAATCAAAGGAAGTAAAAGCCTAGTAGTCCTGATTTCGAATTGAAAATGGCAGTATAAAATCATGACTATTTTCCCCTTAAAAAATATACACCCTAATTCTTGTCACTGGAAAGGCCTAGAAGCAAAGAGTTACCTGACTGTAATTATTGCAAAGTCCAGTAAAGGAAAGAGTCGAAGACTTATCTTGCCTCTCCTGTACAAACTTAATTTCAAGGTAGACAAATAGTTGATGAAAAAAGTACTTAAGAGAACATCTTCCGCTAATAAATAAAAAGGAACCCTAGAATTTTAATACCCCCCCATCTTGCAACTGCCAGGGAGATTATGGATGTAGCTGTTGGGGAACTTAATAAAGCGGGGAAAACGTTATAGGACAGATGACCTACTGTCTTGAATAAACAAATGTCAAGGTTAAAAAAAAAAGGACACAGGAACTCTCTTCTGATAATAGACCCAAGAGACCTGTGGGTCTTGGCTGTGAAACTTAAAAAAAACCTGTTTAAAAAAAACATTTATCATATAATTTTGGCAATTTAAACACTGGATGTTTGGTGATATTAAAGAATTGTCCCTGTGTGCAAATAGCATTAAAGTAATTTTAAAGAGTCCTTATCTGTTACAGATACACAATGAAGTTTTATGGTTGATATGATATGATGTCTGGGAGCAGCTTTAAAATCACCCGGGCCTGAGGGTGGTCATGCTGGGGCAGTTTGCGGGCTGCCACAGAGGAAACAGGACACACCACCAGCTGGCAGCTCTTCAAGTTAGTGGTTCCCACATAGGGTTTACGGTACTCTTCTCTCTTGTGGATGCTTGGAAATTTCTTATTACAGAAAGAGCAGTATAGATGCCAGACATCATTGATTATATATGAAACAATTATCTTTAGTTCATTTAAGAAAATCCATACTCCACCTTTTGGTATCTGCTACAGCACATTGAAGCTAAGGAAAGACTTGGTTATGTCAGCCCATCACAGACATCTATGAATATTCATCCATTCATTCATTCATTTCACAGTACATACTGAACCTATAAACCAGGCACTGGAGTTACAGGTGTCAGGGGCATGATGGCTGTCATGGAGCTTGTGACCTGCAGGACAGATATTAAATGGATAAATTATACATATGATTATACTTACAATGACTACATTTCCATGATAGAGAATGTTGTGGAGAGCTGAGGGCAGCCACGAAGGGCTGAGGGAAAGCCTTGCAGATACGATCTGACGGCTGAGCTGCACCGACCAGTGGTGCAGTCCCAGGGCAAAGACACTTCTGAAAAATAGAAACAAGGTTGACGGGAGACATCCTGGTCCTTTTAGACCTTTGTCCTGGGAACAATGAGACGTCAAAAAAGGATTTTAATGTTAGCATTGCATTTTATAAATATGGAAGATAAAGAAGATGCACCCACTCGTGACAGGACCCCAAGGAAAGCTAATTGAAAGAGATGCCATAGTGTTTTCATGGAAACATGAGTCTCCTTAATCCACAGTAATGGTGCAGCAAGGTGTGAGAATAATGGTGGGTATGAGCATCTCTTTCTATTAGCCGACGTGGGATAATGGATTCTAAAATCTTCCTTCTTGAAATATGGATGTGCTCAAGCCGAGAGAATGTAAGCATGAAATGCTGAGGCCACCAGGTCTGTACTTCAGGCTTAGTGCTGCCTTTGACCTATTCTGCGTGTCCCAACAAAAGTGAGGACAAAGTTTTTCTTCTATCTGTGGGTTGTATTACTCTGGGCTGGCTTTCGTCAGACCACCGATTGCATCACATTGCACATCCTTCTAAATCCAGGCTTGCTCTCCCGTCATGCACACCACGGCTTGTCAGCCTCCCTTCAAGTTACTTCCAATAACTTCCCGTGGCTGCTCCCCAAACAGAAGCAGCCTTTGGCTTTGAGAGAGGCAGTATGGCACCTGGACTGTGGAATGAGTCCACCTGGTCTCAAATCCTGGCTCAACCACTGTATGACCTTGGGCTAGTTGCCTAACCTCTCTGTGCCTGGTTTTTCTCATCTTTAAAAGGAACATATGGAAATATTTATCTCATAGAGCTGTTATGAAGCTTATGTGGATTACCATTTGCCAAGCACTTAGAACAGTACCTTACCCTTAGCAGCACTATATCAGAATTCGGTAAGTACACAAATCTTTTAATCTCTTGGTGCCTTGCTGTCTTCATGAGTAACAACTTTTAGAAACTTCCGTCTTCCAGGTGTTCTTTGAGAATGAATCAGCTGGGTACTCAGCCAATTTAAGGGGTGACTGCTATCTTTATAGTCAATAGTTAACTACTGTTGGGGGCCACCAAGCTCTACTAAGTAAAGACACAGAACCTGTATTACCGCTAACGCTTAGACAAAGGCTGTGAACTAAACATCCAGGCCAAACAAAAGTGGACTCTCCATTGGCAGATGCAGATGGTGGTGGGAGTGTGTGCTCAGCTGCCTTTGCATTACAGCTTGCAGCTTCTTTGTGTGTTAAGTTCTCCACTCGCAAAAATCCACAGGGCTGTGCCAGGCATCCGACTCCAGCAGTGCCGACCACGCGGAGGCGGCTGTCTAGCTTTAGCTGCTGGAGAAAAGAAAGGAAGAGCGTGGGGACCCACCGCAGAAAACCCTGTGGGGCGGGGGAGCAGCCTAGCCCTCCTGCCCACAGCGCCAGCCACGCCACAAGCAGTGCCTTGCCCAAAGCCCACAGGAAA